AGAAAATATGTTCATTGCTTGCTCCATATAATATCCACAGACCTCTCACCTTTTTCATATCGTTTTAACCCATCTAGTTTCTCGGCTAAGCTTAGGCTATACACTTTCTATTAGCTTTTGAAACAACACTACCATCACTTACTCTCTTGCTCATGTTGAATAGGGAAGCAAAAATGCTGTAAGAAACCTAAGAAAGTGTTTCTCCTTTTCCTGTTCAGATGCGTGAAAACAAAGGGCCCGCCAACTGCGATTGTTTATACTAGTGATACTGGCGTCACCACTAACTAGCCCGGCAACCTCCGTGCGCAAGGAGTGTTTTTGTTTTTTTAATATCGGGATTTAGTTATTATTTATACAAAAATGTAATATATATTTTAATTTCGTCATAAACACGAAGAAAACAATGGCGTAAATTGAATTGGGTCCTAAATTAACCAGGGTCTTAGATATGAAACTTCGTTAGTTGAACCGTCGTTATTGGAGGTCAAGCATATTGTAGTGGAATTCTCCCCTACAAACGCTGTTTGTCGCTGAGTAGTCGACCCCACCAATTCCCCAGTGTATGCCTCGTGGTCTGGGTCAACCAGCGCCGCCATACATCACGGAGCGGGGGTCAACTACTAAGCCACGCCTACCCCCCCGCTGTTTAAGACCTGACCTCGTGGTGACCTGCCTCTTTTCTACCTACACCAACCAGCAAGCAACACCACCTCCTCCGCCGCTGCCCGGCGGCCCTCATCCTCCGCCTGCCTGGCGGTCATCTCTCCCGCTGGCGAGCATGGCGACCCACAAGCTGTCCTTCTCTGAGCGTCCTCACCAACCAGCTCTCTCTACATCACGCTTGTAACCATGCTGCCTTCCCAGCACCAAGCTGCATTGTACATCCAATACAACATATATATAGAGAGCACATTGTGAGTTTCCTTTCTCCAACCCATCCTGAGTAAACATCCAAAAACCCCACAAATGGTGACTCCCGGAGATTCGCACTCACACAGGATGGAGGAGAAACTGATCACGCTCCCAGTCTTCAAGCAACATGGAAGACTGGCTTATCCACACAGAAGCAGCTCTCATCGGCTCTACAACTACTGTCTCTACACCGCAGGTACTCCCTGCTAATGTCCTGCACCCTGCTGCTGTCGTGGACCCAGCTGCTGTCACGAGCCCTCATCCGCTTCTGCTGACGCAGCCCCTGCTCCTGACGACTCTGTACCTGCCGTGAGGGAAGCACAACATTCATCGCCTCGACACACCCTTTTTCTCCCTTTACTCCAACAGATATGGTGTATCTAGACAGTTGTATCCAGCGACCGGCTCATCCACGCCATCGCCGTTGTCTCACATGAGGCATGCACCGCCCGTTCTGCCTCACATGTGCTAAGCAACTCTGCAGACAACAAGTCTCCTACACCGCCTGGAGGGAAGGGGAAGTATTGTAGTGGAATTCTCCCCTACAAACGCTGTTTGTCGCTGAGTAGTCGACCCCACCAATTCCCCAGTGTATGCCTCGTGGTCTGGGTCAACCAGCGCCGCCATACATCATGGAGCGGGGGTCAACTACTAAGCCACGCCTACCCCTGCTGTTTAAGACCTGACCTCGTGGTGACCTGCCTCTTTTCTACCTACACCAACCAGCAAGCAACACCACCTCCTCCGCCGCTGCCTGGCGGCCCTCATCCTCCGCCTGCCTGGCGGTCATCTCTCCCGCTGGCGAGCATGGCGACCCACAAGCTGTCCTACTCTGAGCGTCCTCACCAACCAGCTCTCTCTACATCACACTTGTAACCATGCTGCCTTCCCAGCACCAAGCTGCATTGTACATCCAATACAACATGTATATAGAGAGCACATTGTGAGTTTCCTTTCTCCAACCCATCCTGAGTAAACATCCAAAAACCCCACAATATCCAGCACTTCCCGGAGGCCCACCAGTTCGTCATATTCACAGACCACAAGCCATTCACCTATGCCTTCTCAAGTTCCGAGTCACACTCTCCAAGAGTCCTCTGTCACCTGGCTCTCTCTCACAGTGTTTCAACCATTCTTCCCATCTTCATGAATAGACTACAATCATTGCATTGCTGTCTTCTTGACAATCAACCGCTTCGGCAGACCTGACACCATCAGCATTGACTGCCTTAAGCCAGCCATCATGCCCGATGAGATCCCAAGTGGACCCAGCATCACCCTCCACCACCGTCCTTCTCCATCTCTCATTCCTAGCCTCCCTCCACCAACATTAGCTTCACCTCATCCACAAGACTTCTGGGTACCTCCTGAGAGAGCAACTGCTCCTGTTCCTACCATTTCCTTTTCTCCTCCTCATGCTCCTGTTCTGTTCCTACCACTTCCACCTGAGGACACATTATCTTTTTAGGACTTTGTCACCCGTAACAGCCACAAAATCAACACCCAAGCCTGCTTTGCCTCCTGTGTCTATGATAACCACCAGGAAAATTTAGATCCCTGTGACCATCCTGGCGCCCGGCGTCGCGAATGGGGTATTGTAGGGGACACCCTACAAAAATTCAAGAGCATGCACTCTCTCCTGATCCTACGTTGATTGGATATCAGCATTTAGCCAACCACGGGCCTCTGTTCTTGGTCACAGCACACTGATTGGCTATTGGACCAGCCTAGCACAGAATGCCATTGGACCAATCGCAGACCACCAATGGTTTCCTTCACAGCGCTGATTAGGTATAAAAGCAGTACAGCAGCAGTTAACTTGATGGCTGAAATAGCCAAAAGGCGAAGTGGCCAGTATTCTCCAAACAAGCCAAGTTAACTTGACATTCTTCCTCTCCAGCCACAGAAGCAACACCACCTCTCTCCCAGCACCAGATGCAGCTCTCCATCAAGCGATTCCAGACTTAACTGCAACTTCCAGCGCTCCGCTGATTATTCTATATCTGTAGTACAAACTTTATTTTTGTATGATAGAATTTATCTTTCCCCATCTTGAGCATCACCAAACCATAGTACAGGTACTTATTTATAAAGACAATAGACAAAGAACTAATGAGAATAAACACACTGCAACATAATTAATGTAGGATCCCTCCATAGTTCTTGATAGTCGTGTACAGGGCTAATTTGAAGCCCAGTGCCATTCTTACTTCCACTGCTTAAAATGGTAGGTTGTTCCATAGGTTTAACACCCTGAGTATGAAAAAGTTTTCCTTACATTCATCCTACATGACACCTTGGCAAGCTTGAAGTTTTTTTCTCTTGTGTTGGTGGTGCAAGGTAAAAAAACATAAATATTAAATAGTATAGAACTTTCATAAAATTCATTTAAACATTAATAAATAAAACTCCAAGCCTGTGTAGAATGCCGGCTTCCTCCACAAGGAGGGGACATCCCCTCATACACTTCCCTCTCCCCCCAGCATCAAAGAGTGGTAAGACCGAATCTCCAAGCTGTGTTGTATGCTTTTTCTAGGTTGAAAAAAAATGCAGAAAAATGTTGGCGACGGGCAAAGGCCTAACAGACCGACGACTCAAGATGATCAAGAGCATCTGTTGTTGAATACATCTTCTTGAAATCAGATTGATATGGTGAAAGATGGGCACTCTTCATGAGTAGACCATCTTTTCAAACAATTTACAGATACAGATCAGAGCTATGGGGCGATATTCTAGCGCATGAAGACCCTCGTTTCCAGTCTTCTTGAAAGGCAGGACAGTAGCCTCCAGCCATGAGGATGGGAAGGCACCCTCTTGCCAGATCATGTAATACTGTATAGCTCCAATAGAAATGCCTGTGCCCCAACTTCAAGGTGGTGGAGCATTGAAAATGGAAGATCAGGCCGTGGTAATGTATCTCTAGTGAGTGAGAGGGCAGTTCTCATTTCTCTCATTGAGAACATAGGAGTGCCAGGCCTCTTGATGCCCACTTAACCCTAGCCACTCTGTGACCAGCTGATTGATTTGATCGAGCCCAACCAAGCCATCTGTCTAGCATGTGGCATCGCTCAACCTCCAGGACTCCCATCTCCCAGCATTATGGGTTACCATGCATGGCAAACATGTGAAAGAGTATTCCAGCCCTGGTGGTTTGGGCTGTGGGGCGATGTTGTCAGTCTGCTCTCAAAACCGGCAGCAGGATAAGAGCCAATTTATCTGGACCCTCCATGGTGACTCACCCAGTTTGGGAAATGGTTCCCCTCCCTCTGAGGAGGAAAGGAAGGGGGGCTAAGCTCCCCTCTGGTATGGGTCACCGAATGATTGGGACTCACAAGCCCCCCACCACATCAAGGCAGCTCCCACTGGGGGCTCTCTCTCCTTGAAACCATGTTGTGGTTGATCAGGTGTTGGATGATGGTGTTAGGCTTCTTGGCCTATAGTTTTCTGCTGAATATTTACTAGATGACTGATTTCCAGTCCTTAGGCACTTTTCCTTGATCCTCCCAGGCTACAGTTCTTTTTGCAAGGGTGTTCGAAGCATTAATACTAATCTTCACATGTTGGTTTGGCCAGCAATATGAAGTAACATTTGCAAATAATTCATAAAAAATTCCATAAGGTGCTACCCCAAAATAAAAATAACAATTTTGTTTTACTTTATTTCAACTATTACAAAACTAGCCTTTTAAAAATAATCACACAGATCCACTTCCAAGTACATGATGCCATAATACAAAAAAGAAAAGAAAAGAAAATTATAAATATAAATATATATATATATATATATATATATATATATATATATATATATATATATATATATATATATATATATATATATATATATATATATATATATATATATATATATATATATATATATATATATATATATATATATATATATATATATATATATATATATATATATATATATATATATATATATATATATATATATATATATATATATATATATATATATATATATATATATATATATATATATATATATATATATATATATATATATATATATATATATTTATTTATATTTATATTTTGCACATTATCCAATATAATTTGTTTTGAATAGTGATTAACAACTACAATAATCATGTAATATTGGTTAATAAACTACAAAATATAAAATAAAATAAGAATGTAATTATGTATCTTGACAGAGAGAGTGTGGATTAGATGTTATAAAATATAGAAAATAGAGTGGTGCTATCTGAATATAAAATGTTGTACTTTCGAAATAACATACATTACTTCATTATATTAATCCTAGATCCATTAGTGTTTTAATATTATAATGATTCCTGGCCTGAAGGACTAACTTAAAAATAGGAAGATAAAATTTTTTATCTTTTTTGAACTAAAGTACTTGAATTTAGTAATAGACAAAATAAATACATTACATTGTCTTTTGAGAAAGTTTTTTGTTTTCACTCCCTAATCTATATTAAAACAGTGTCTCTCCTTCCACCATTGTTATTATATCACTGTTCTTGTAAAATACAGTAGAACCTCGATAATCCAAACTGTTTGGAACCAGAGAGTGTTCAGATTGTTGAGAGAATATTAACTCATTGCAATATAAAAGTAACACTTACATAACCTATAATTACTTGAAGAAATAACAATACATCAATGGTATTACAGAGTGAATAAAACTCTTAATAACTATAGTATTCTGTAAGTATAGCAATTAATGTACAGTACTTAAGAGATAAAATAACAAATAGCAAAACATTTAACAAGTTTCCAGTGTTGATTATTCTTGAATATAATTTCCTTTATTCAGCAGTTATAAAGATTCATGTACAGGTACTTTATATTCTTCCCGTTTTCACATGGAATTGTTTAGCCTTCTCAGTTAATATAAGATCGGACACTGGAGCACCTTTAGATCTTTCTACTACTTGCACAAACCTTTATCTATCTGGTTAACTATAGCATCTTTTTCCTTTATCACCACTTTTACTTCAGTCAGTAGTGTTTGCCATGAAAAATCTCTATTTGTCCTTTTGTTTATTCATAATATCACAAACTACTTGCACCAATCAAATAATCATTCATAATGTTACTCTGTCTAAACACCTTGCTCAAATTTGTTTATGATTTCAATATTTTAATTAGTTGCTCATGTTACATGCTCTCGTTTAGGTGTTTTATCTCCCACTGAAGATTTACCAGCATTACAAGCCATGTTTTACTCTGATAGCTTAAATAAATTAAGTTAAAGATAATCACAGGAAAACACTGACAAAATGTAATCAATGATAGACAAATGACTGAGTTGCAAGGCTCATCAGCTAGCCATGGTTTAGAAATTTGCTTTATTGAAGTCTGGATTATCGGGGTTTTAATGTTTAATTATTTCAAACCAACTTTTTTGAAACCCACAGTATAAAACCTCAAGAAAGGAATGACATTAGTTTGATCTATTAAAATGAAATGTAGCCACCTGATTTTAGTACAGTACACAGTTGCCCATTACATTCTGAATTAAGTATCTCTGCCTGTAACTAAAAAATAAAATAAGTTACATTCAATAGCAGTCAAAACGTTCCTTTATTCATATTCACCTTTTTCAAAATAAAATTTCTCTAACACTTTACAATATCTGTATTGCTAAAATTCATTATATGTGCTCTTCAGCACTGAGTTGCAGTTACTGTAGATACAAATTTCATTACTTGTCTCTACCTGAATATAAACAGTTTCCTCATTTGAACTTGCAGTTGGTAATACTAATATTAGTCTCACCAATTCTGAGACAGCTCTCCCATTGCCAGTGTACATCATTATTCCTCTTCCTCCTCCCCAGGAACTTTCCATTGTGCCTTCTTACCAGCTTCATATAATATTTGGAGCTCCATAACTAAATCACCATCAGCTTTTAATTCACAGTACTTCTGATAAAGAGCAAGAGCAGTTCTGGCATCCTCTATACTATCGTGGGTTACACTCTGAATTTTGAGTTCTGTTGGGGGAAAAAATATACATGTAATTCCAGGCAACATTAATTCCAGTATTGTACTCTGGCTAAGAGAGTTCATCTGCATTGCAAACACTGTACTTACTGGATATTATAACTTTTATTAAACCATTCTGATATGCATGAAAAGCTTCCACAATATAAGCCAGAACTAGTGAGGGGCCATGTATGGTTAAAAAATAATAATAATTATTAGTTTCAGTTTGAACTGATATATTACTATATTACAATCAAAATATATTAATTTGCACGCAATAATTGTTTGATTTCTTATCTTAAGCAATGATAAAATATTAAAAAATTTGTTTACGAAATAGTTAATTAAAGCAGCACAGGAAACTAATCATCTGCAATGCCTTTCCTTCACAGGTGAGGAAACAATAAAATATTACAGTTACCACAATTTTTCTACAGTAGTTCCAGTCTATTGTTTTCACTGGTAACCAAGTACGTAATATCTCCGTCAGTCAGAATCCCTCTAAACCGGAACTCTCCGATAGCCAGAATTGAAATTTTCTCGGAAGTCGTTCCCAAAGCCGAAATTTTCCAGAAAATTCTGGCTTTGGAAACGATTTTCTGAGGGACACATTTTCTGGCAAATTCTGAGAAATTTTCCCAGTACCTGGGAAATCCGGAAAATTCCAGGAATGGGGGAGACTTTTTCCGGGTTTGAAAGATGAATATCAGGTGCATTTTCAGGAAATTCCAAGAAAACTTTCCCAGTACCCGTAATTTTCCGGGTTCGAGAGATGATGCAATGTGCAATATCTGGAACTTCCAAGAACATTTTTCCATTACCTGGAAAATTTTGGGGATAGAGATTTTTTTCCGGCTTTGAGAGATGATGTAATGCAAAATTTCTGGAACTTCCGAGAACATTTTTCCATTGACCGGAAAATTCCAGGGATGAGGGATTTTTTCCTGCTTTGAGAGAGTCGTCTCGTTACCCAGAAATCTCTCATTGTCAGAAGTGCTCTGCACCAATTGTTCCCGCTACTGGAAATATCACTTATACTGTACAGTAAACCCTCGATAACTCGGAATTTCACATAACTCGGCATGGACATGGTCTCGGAATGTATTAGTATAACTCGGGAAATGCCGATATATATAAAATTATCTGGGAAAAATCTTGGCATAACTGGCCACCTGCATCACCTACCATGCCTCTGTGTCACCTACCATACCTCTGTATCACCTACCATGAATCTGTGTCTCCTACCATGATGCTTCATTCTTCACCTGCAGTGCTGGTAAGCGTTACTTTTTTTTACATTTAGTAATTACATTTACACATACTGTATATGGATCGATAATTTTTTATTGTTGTATTTTTGTAGGAGGGGGGTAAGTGCCTAGATAACTTGGAATTTGGGATAACTCAGCAAGGCCAGAGCCCATATGTGCCTAGTTATCGAGGGTTTACTGTACAGTATATAGATTAAAAGTTGTGAGTATTATCCTTTTAATCATTACATTAGTTCTTACCTAAAAATACAACAGTTAAGTCTTGTATGCATAAATACTGAAATACATTTAACACTGAATTTTGTTTCAGGCTGAAAATTAAGACTGATAGTTTAGGAAGTTTACCTAACTTTGTTCTCAGACAACTATTATGCTCATTGAGAATGGTTTCATGATCAATACTGGCATTCCATTATCAATACTAAATATATTATCATAAACTAAAATGATAAATATACAAAATCCCCCCCATTTTATTTACTTCACAAGTTCAAAACAGTGTTACAATGCCGGAATATCTATAACAAAAACTATGTATATATACAGTACTGTTAAATCAAAGAAATTACGAGTATGAGGCAACTGGACTGCATGCAATCATATTTTCACCCATTCTGAGTGAGGGAAAAAAAAGTAGGAAAGTGAGTTCCACAAACATTGTTGCCAATGTAGGTTGTGGTTTGCATCTACAGTCAAAACTATATTTGGCTTATTGACTCTCTTATGTCTTTGCAATTGTACAAGATACTCAAGCACACACAGAGGTCACATAGAACTGGGCAATATACCTCATGGGGTCGCTGGAGTTACCTGGGTCTTACATTGGGCACGTGACTTTTTTTATTTTTTATTATTACTATTATTATTATTATTATTTTTTAAGTCTAGGTGTCAAGGACTGAAGAATGTGGCCAGCAGGTGCTGTCTTCTTAAGTCAAGAATATAAATTATTGTCAAGTGATTAACGCAGTTACTCTCCTTGTGTCAGGTCAGGTCAGGTCAGGCTTGCCCTGATGATATGTTTTGCAACAAAAGTTCCACACGCCTACCTTTAAACTGTTCTCAGCACAGTTCACTCTGCTTCCCATGGATGTGGACAGAAAATTTCAATGATAGATTCCCTGAGTTGCTTACCTAGTCTTCTGATTTTCTTCATTTTCCGTTCAAGACAGATGTAAATTAATGTAGCCCCTTTGCACTCAAAATGCTACAATTACAAGCTGATGAATAGGTTATGGTGAATTTTGACATCTATGATGACATAGAAAAGTTTTGGATTACCTTATCAAAGATACATTCAGTGGTTAAAAATTGAACTATCAAGGTTTTGGTACAATTTGGAACCTCCTATGTCTGTGAGGCAGCTTTCTCGTCAATGGTGTTTCTCAAAAATTATTACCGTAACTGTAGTTCAAAATTCAACTTAGAAATTGTATGCCATGTTGCTTAACCTCGTAACCCCCAGAGAAAGTTAATCAAATGATGACGTACACCATGTTATATATGAAATATGACACAGTTGTAGCATTAAATGATAATCTATCCATATGAATTATAGCTGATATAACTGGTATTGAAAATAATTTAAATGATGATGCGCTTATCACATACGGGATACGACAAAGTTGTAACTAAGAAAATTGTATGTTACATTGCTTAACCACATAGCTAATTGTACCCCAAGGTATAGAGCATTAAATGATGATATAAACATGACACACATTAAATATGGCAGAGTTGTAATCTGTTTCTGCCAGTGTTTACTTTTAGACTTCTTAATTATGTAATACATTTTCCTTACTTGTTTTACAGTTAAATGCATATGAAAAAATTTCTGTATTTATTCTAAAAATCCTTATACAGCTCCTCCCCGACTTACAACGGGGTTAGGAACCCAAATCCAGGTCGTAAGTCGAAATGGTCGTAAGTCGGAAATGCTTAAATAATACATAGAAAATCTAAAATGGGTGTCTCTTTTTCTTCTTAGCACCAGAAAACACTAACTTTTAAGCTTGCCAGCCATTTTAAAGTGAATCACAAACGAAAATTTTGTCTGTGTACTGACTTTGGGACTCGAAAATACGTAATTTGACCAAATTTTGGTACGACTGAGGCAGGTCGTAAGTGTGGGTGGTCGTAAGATGGGGAGGATATATATATACAGTATATATATAGATATAGATATAGATATAGATATAGATATATATATATATATATATATATATATATATATATATATATATATATATATATATATATATATATATATATATATATATATATATATATATATATATATATATATATATATATATATATATATATATATATATATATATATATATATATATATATATATATATATGAGAGAGAGAGAGAGAGTCTGTAATGACTTTAGGTCACACTGGATAGACAACAGCATGAGATGGGATTGCACTGGAAAATGCTTGGGAACCCCTGTTCTAGAACATAATAAATTACATACTGGTAAAAATATGAGAGCTAAATCATTATCTATTTCTAAATTCTAATTTAGGAAAACTACTTAATATATCTGTGTGATGACTAACTAATGTCAATATATCTTTCAACAGAGAAACTGAAGGACTTACTGAGAAAGTGCCAGGCAAGGAATTTCAGGGAGACCATCCGGTTATGAGACATGTGGAAGAGGTGCACTGTGTCTATCAGTTGTGCCATAGGTACTGTCATGTTGATCACCCTGTAGGAGAAAAAATCTGTAATAAAGTGGATGTTAAGGCATTAAAAGGCATTTAAACCTCTCAATCTTATGTTTTCATGGTAATCTAATATTAATTTTTAATACTAGATAAGTTTCTGATACACAAGTGGTATGTAGCATGCAAGGGACAAATACATAAGTTCAGTATTTGAATATAAATACAATTAAGGAAAAGTACAAAGGTTTCAAATACAGGTACATATACAGTACATTTGAAGTACAGTATTCATAGATGATATACAATCATGAATACTTTGGTAACTAATCTGAAATAAGTAATAACAGAACCAAGTACGCATAAATATTCTGGAAATTTTGGATTTATTTACAGTCGAGCTCTGATATACAGTACAGTATTGGCTAATATACACAATGTTTCAACAACTAGAAATTAATCTTTGCCAGTTGCCATTTCCATCTTACAAATTATATATACTGTACTAAACCTATTAAAATTAATTAGTGCTGAGGAAACTTTTCATTATTCTTTATGAACATCAACCTGTCAATAATTTTGTCAGTGAGGCAGCAGCAATCATTTCTGAAGTTTCTGAAAATAAAAAAACATTCCAAGAGGGCAGAGGATGCTGGAACACTCAGGTAATACTTGGCAAGAAAGTGATGAAGGTGTTACTTATGTTGAAGTGTTTTATAAGAGTTAAGATAAGAAGGATGGTGATAGGCTGAGTGTGGGTGATGAGGTAGTAAATGGGAAGATTGATGAAAATGAAAGGTGAGGTGGGACATGTGGTTGATGGGATGAATGAATGATTGATTGATTGATTGTGGTAATTACACCCCTGGCAATGCAACAGCTTAAGGTCATACTTTTTACTTTTTTTATCCTCTTCGCCACTGATCGGCTTGTCAGCCGCTTGGGCGGTCAGTCACATCTCTGTTACGCACTGTTGGTAAATACTGGGCATGCAATGGCTCTTGAATGTATCTGAACCTACTCCAGTACTGGCAAAGTCTGGTCTTGAAACAGCTCACACTTGGTACCATCACAACACTCTCTCACTCGAAAAAAAGTTCGCCCTCACATTTACGTAAACTTTTTTGTAGAGTGCGTAGTACAGTATGTATCTTTAATGAAGTAACTAATCGGGTTTTAAGAAATGGGTTAAAATTATGTAGGTACAGGCATCTGCCCGATATTAGAGCAAGACTCGAGTGAGGCCAGGCCTTCTGGTGTGGGTTCAGGAGCCTATTATTCCTGAGCGTGTGTTTAGTGATGCCAGTGCTTACGTGGACACCCCAGTAATGCTTGGTAATAGTGATTTTGGTGGTGAATTTAGTGTTGAGTATGGTGATACAAGTGCTACTGGCGATGGTGCAGGTGACGTGCATGAGAATATTGGTGAGACATCCGCTTCTACAAACTCAATGCGACAGTGATGAAACAGATATAGAATACGATGATGATAATGAGCCACAAAAGGGTGAAAGTGAGTCTCTTAATGACAGTAACACTGTGATTGCAGAAAAATCAATACATCACGGTATGAACCATCGGAAGATCTTTTTAGAGACTATGATGACTTGCCTGTTGACAATGAAAGTGACACACATCATGATGAAAGTGATTATCATAATGACAATAACACTGAATGCATAGAATAACTTTTTAGCGTGCTACGAAGCATCCGAAGATCATTTTGCCGACTATGACGAGTTAAAAGACAATGTGGCATGCATTGACGATGATAATGACTATGAAAGAGAACTTGAAATAGATGAAACTGAGTGTACTCATAATACAAAAAGTGACTGCTATGCATCACAAGACCTTTTTGCAGACTGTGATCCGGTACAGAGTTATGTGACATGCACTGACGGCAATAATGACGATGAAAGTAAAGAAAATGATGAAAGTGAGTGTAATGGTAACACAAACAGTGACACTAATGTATCACCACAAGAACATACAGACTGTGAGGAGGTAGAAGTGGACAGTGATGAGACATGCATTGACCTTGATAGTGATGAAAGTGAGCCACACCCAACGAATGCTAGTGAAAGTGAGCCCATAACTCAGTCTTATAATGAAACCGGCATCAATAATCAATGATGTAGTTGATGAAAAATCTGTGTGGCGATTTTCAGAGAGGGCAGAGAAAGACTTTGATCAGTACATGATTGATTATGACGAGGCCATTAAAGTTATACGCACTCCTCAGGATTTACGTAACTTCAACTTACTGCGATCTTCAGGGACAATAAAACGAAGGAACTAAACAAAGTAAGATTGTTATATTATCATAATACTGTTTTTACCAAAGATCATGCAAACTTTCTCCGCCTTTGTATTCGTATGTAGGGGAGAGGTTAATGGTGGGGAGGATGAGTGTAGTGGTGTTTCCTTATTATTACACATTATTAGACTTCACAATATTATAAATCTTGGCTAATAATAGGGACGAAAATGTAAATACTGATAGGCAAATGAGTTTTTTATTAATATATATATATTAATCCTGGCGGGTTGAGGTGTTGATTATGTGTAGAAGTCCGCGTGCTTTATTGGGCTAATGAAATATATATGGATCCTCGTGTTTCGAAGCCGGATTTGGTAAAACGTTACTCTGACCACCTACTGTAAGTGATACGGGTGGTCCCCATTAGAGGTTCACGGCGCCATAAGCTCATTGAACAGGCTTTGTGTGAAATATAACAAAGTCTAGGACTGCTTTTAGTATCCTGGTGGTCCAGCGGTTAGCGTTCCCCGGTCACAGTCATAGGCTTTACGCGGTCAATTGAACCCACAGGGTACCGCGTTAAGTGAAAACCGCGTTAAGTGAACAACAGAACATATGGGATTAATTCCAATAGAGACTGGCCCGACCCCCAAACTCCACTTTTTGACGACACACAACTATGTTGTAGTAAAAATTTTATCTTAACTTTATGATGGTATGAACAAACAAGTAATATAGAAGAGGTTAGGTTAGGAAAAATAAAGGTTAACTTAGGAAAAATAAAGGTTAGGTTAGGAAAACTAAAAGTTAGGTGTAACACTTACGTTAGTAGAAGACACACACTGCGCAACCTTACAGCGCGGCTTGCCCAGGCGGAGAGAGGCAGAGGCGGGAGGGGAGGGAGGGAGGAGTAGGAGGAGGGAGAGGTGAGGCAGGCGGCAGGCGGGAGCGGGTGGCGGGTGGGGCGAATCTAAAAATAGTGTCTCGAGCCGGACACTGCGCGTATATGGGTAGATGAACCGCGTTAAGTGAAAGTTCGGTTCTGGCGAGGCACCGCGTATATGAGAAATCGCGTTAAGTGAAACCGCGTAAAGCAGGGTACAACTGTAATATATATATATATACTGTATATATATATATTTTTTTTTTGGGGGGGGGAAGGGGGGTGTAAGGCGAGTGCTGTTTTTGGTGATCATTTACCCGTTTTACAGTATTGGCCCACAATAATAAGAAAATTTTGCAGAAAATGCAATTATTGTTGGTTTGAAGATCAAAACAACTGTACATCACAGGTAGTTATTCTCATGCAACTCGCTATAAAATAATAACTATTCACAGTACTGTACTAACTTCCAGTTTTCACAGTTTGCTAGGAGAGGGATTGAGCTGCATGATAAAAATAATGAACCCTCTAGCTTAAAAAACAAAAAGTTATGGTTGTTTGAACTTCGAAAACTTTAAACGAGTTTTCTCAGCTTTTTGAATTTGCCGATTCACCCCCTTCTAATGCAGAGCGCCTCACTTGAACTTGGTCTTTTTACACTCATGTTTTTCTGACTTTTGCATTTTTTTGGATTTAGGTCTGCCCATATTACTCCCACTTATTGGGGTTCCACTGTAATACATAAAGCAGCTAAAATAATGAGGGTAATAATCTCTAAAAAGAGAATTTTACTTAATTTTCTCAAGTATTATATTGCTTTTCCCATTTTTACAGATAAAACAGTATTACTGTATACAGTATACATTTACTGGGTAATATACAAAAAAATTCTAAGATGTAGGAAAGGATAAGTATGGATGAGTAACTTTTCACTGAGAGTGAACTAATATTAATTACAGATACTGAATAAATAAACTAACACTTACCTGAAATCATTCTTTAATCCATGTCCTACAAATTTTACACCTTTATCAACCAAGTATCTAAGTTTCACATAAGTTGACTTAAGAGTAGTGAGGTGCTTCTGGGAAAAGTTAGCATCCAGGTCACCAGGTTTAATCCCAGAAAACTGTGTGAGGTAGTCGACCACTTGCTCTTGAGTAGAGATGTAGTCATCAAGGAAAGGTGTGCCCTCCAAAGGACCTTGTCTACATTGGAACAAATGCAGAATTAGTTTATTATGTACAGTTTGATAAATATTGCTCTTACCATAAATAAGCTTACAAAGTTATTTAAACAATATTAATATTGGGTAGGAAATTATTTTAACAAATTCATCTCTATATTATACCCTCTTATGCAGGTAATCCTTGCAACAGACTTCTGTGACGGCTTAATGGTAGTCCGCGTACCATCGCTGCGAATCTCTGCCTCTTCCTGATGAAGATTTACAAATTCTGCATCCATAGCAACTAGGTCACCTGTGGTACACAAGAGTCAAATAAGAGTAAAATTTTGAGCAAGAAAAAAGTTCAAATAAAATTCTTTACACTAATATTTCTGTTCAAAACCTGATTAACAGGAGATATTCAGAATGACATACAGTAATTGGAAAAGACTGGGCAAGGCAAGATATAGTCACATTAACATAAAATGAAAATTTATTGTAATTTCATTGAATAATCTTTTGAAGGAGGAAATAACCCCTCCACTACTGAATGCCACTTTTAATATTTTGCTTGGCTAACACTTGATACAGTAATTTTATTCAGCACAGAGGGCGCCCATACACACGGGGTTAAATAAAAGAGAAGCAGCAAGAGTACGACAGCCTCATTTTATAGTCAAGTATTGTAACCTGTTACGTATATTCCAGCCACCCCCACCCTACCAGGTATCACAGGATACACTACTCAAAAGCATACCTTAACACACATAGGGTTTTCATAAAAAAAATTGCATATGATCTAAATTATGTTTGCGTATGAATGCTAAACATACAAGACAAACATTTGGCAATGTCAGAGCAACCTGACAACTCTGTAGACTGTACTCTAAGGTCTCCAAACCAGTCTCTCTTTCATGTTTTAAGGATTGCATTTTCTGACAGCTTGTGCTGATTTCTTGTGCATCAGCAATTTCATTTATTTGTAAGTGTTGTGAGATGTTTTGAACCATGCCTCGTGTTGCTGGCGAGGATGGAGGGGTTAGAAAACATAAAAGTGCAATGAGATTGCACCACGTGGTGATAGTGTGGTGCCTCCTGATGCCCCTCCCAAGCAAAACATAAATTTTTTCAAAAAAAAATTTTCTACAACTGTTTTTTCCTAAATTACTGTGCTTTATAACAGAATAAGGTTCATTTTGCAATCACATGAAATAATGAAGGTATAAAGTGATGTATAAACATTTTCATCTCGTGTAAACAAAAATTTTGTGTTATACTTGCGCTTACGTATAGAAATAATGATTATTTATATAAAACTGTTTTGTAGATAATTAATTTACAATGCTAATGCTAAAAATCCCACCTTTTTATCTCAAATAGTATATAATTATCTCTTGTGTGAAGCAGTCAAGTGCGGTGAAGTGAGTAACAAGCCAGACCCCGAGCATCTCGTGGGTGAATGCCTACCTAAAACCAATAGTGTTGACACTTTTGGGGTTTATGTGCCAACTCTTCCCCCATTTAGTGTTACCAGATCACCTGACTCGTATCATACATGTAGGGTTGGAGCAAACTTATGCTGTTGACTGTACGTATGTATTGCCATTGATTGAAGAACATTATCACAGTGAAAAATAAAATAAAATCATGAAAAACAAACACAACTCACCCTCACTCAGTAACAGTCAGGATTACACTGTTGATACCAAATCATCTTTCACGTATAGTGCTTGCTACAACAGGAAACGTTCAGCATTCAGGTACTGTACCACACATATTTACAATTACATACAGTATAAACACACCATCTCGTTGCAAACAGGAAAATTTCAAGTATTGTGCACACATTTACTGACGTTACCTTATTGCACCAGGAATTATCAAGTAGGCCTACTGCACATGCACAGATTATTAGAAATGAATCCTATAAATAGGAAAGTGTAAAAGTATATCAGTATACATAGCACAAACCAGCCCATCCCTAGCTAAATGAGGTATAACGCACTGTAATTATTTGTGATAGTTTGAATATGAATGATCCCTTATTTTTTACTTTAATGAACCCAAGTCCATAATATATGACCCTAGCCAGAACAGGTCAGAGTGTCTGTTAAAGCTGAGGTCCATTATAGACGGTGTTCATTATATCGGGTTTACTGAATGTACAGTAGTGGTAAATACATAGTCTATACAGTCTCTCCTCGACTTACGACGGGGTTCCGTCCCAACGACCAGGTCATAAGTCGAATTGGTCGTAAGTCGAAAAGGCGAAAATAAAACATAGAAATTCTAAAATGGCTGTCTCTTTTTCTTCTCAGCACCACGAGAACTCGCACTTTTACGCTTGCCTGCCATTTTAAAGGGAATTACAAAAAAAAAAAACATTTTCAGTACACAGCGCGATCACTAACATTGGGACTCGAAAATACGTAATGTGAAAAATATTTTATACGACCATGGCAGTAGTATGTCCGGGTTGTTGTAAGTCGAGGAGAGACTGCAGTATTTTCTAATAAGTCCTTGGATTTACAAACTACTGTATTGATATACCTGTCATGGAAAACGAGGGGAATCCTGTTCAATTAAAAAAAAAATACTGTATCACTAACTAATGAAACAAGAAAGTTATTGAAAATTGATCTAACTCACCTTCCCCAGGCATTTCGTCTGCTGTGAGTGGTGTGAAAGTTATTCTTTTTCTTCCACGTTGTGCTAATGATTTATCTTCACCAAACACATCTACAGTAACTGGATTAATTGGCTCTATTTCTTGGGTTTCAGAAGGTATCTGACGCCGCTGCCAGTACAACACACAAGGAGTCTTCCAGCCACATGGAAACCACACTGCTTCTTCTGGTGCTATTGGTTGGATGCTATCCAAAATAAAATAAAATGGATATAATGGTATTTTAGAAGTTTATAAGATCCTGCCCAATCCATTTCCTACAGAACCCACGTATTGTAAATAATGAACACCTATGCTGGAAATGGGGTTATGTTCCAGGGTTTCTAAATATTACACTTCAATTCACTTGATGCCCCACAAAAGAAAAAAAGTATTTTCTCTTGATACACTAACTCCTAGTTCTAGTGTGTCACTGTTGTGATGGTACATCACTCAATTTGGGGACCAATCTTTCTTTTTGATCAAAATGGGGTATTTCACTAGGACCAGGGTCCCTAAACACTATAAATCCTAATGGAGCCAAAACTTAAAGGCATATTAAGATTAGGATTAAATTTTCAAGAATACCAATTTTAGTTACATCCAGCACCAGCCATTTCTAGGAACACAACTCCCACTATATACAAGGACAACCTGTACAGTACCTCCAGTTGATGTGGTAAACTTTTCAATAAAATGCTCACATAAGTATTTGGTGTATGTATTTCAAAAAACTTATACTGTACTGTATTTGAGCAATACTAATTACAGAAACAACCTGTCCAAAGTAACCTTAAATCTTAAACCAAGTTAAAACTTGAAAAAATTGTGCTCTTGGCCCAAAATACAGGTGAAGACTGAGTGCAAGAGTCTACATTACAAGAGAGAGATAGATGTAAGGACCAATATAGGGAGGCTTGTGATGATAGATAAGCTGGTAGATAAAGTTGCAGGGGATACACCTCAGGTAACAGAAGGATATGATGTACCAGATTCTTGTAGACTACTGTACTACTACTGAATAATGACAAACTGAGCACATGAGGAAAACTTTAAATAAACAAGATAAAAATAAAAAAAATAAAAATTATCTTACCTTATGTCATTGAAAAGATACCAATGAGAGACGGACGACACTTTGGCACGTACATGATAGCTGGGACCGACTTTTATACAAGAAACCAAGTTATTCTTGTCTGGGAAGCGAGGGTCAGCTATGTGTGAGACAACACCAACAAGCTCATATACAACACCCGTTTCATCTTCTGTGGCATTTTCAAGCTGAATGAAAACAATTTAAGATTTAACCTTAACAAAATCTTAAAAGATTAAAGTTAATAAAAGTGGTTTCTTTTTCATGAAAATTAAATGAAAATTAGCATATACAGTATATATAGAATCACAAGGAACCTATAAATAATATCCATGTTGACAGCTATATTCTCCACTTACCTCAGTTTTTGAAATATCAGAGAGTGATACAGTGCCGTCGTCATTAAGTTTGGCCCTCATACCAAGTGGCACCCAAGAGTACTCCATGGTCTGGTCAAGAAGACTTAATACATGCATTGGCTGCTGGCCTGCTGAAAGTGAAGTTCCATAACAATGAAGTATTTTATTTTTGTTACCTTTAATTCTACCCTCAAAGTCCACTCTGGAGTGGTCTTGAGGGTAGACTCAACAATTGTTTCTGATTATTTGTGAGAAGATTTCCCATTATTATTTATTTGTATGTTTTGTGTGTGTGTGTGCCTGCCTACACACACACACAAACTCACATATATACAATACTGTACAGGTAAAAGAAATAATTGTCCTAAGGGCAACACATAAAAGGAATATACATTACTTTGTACACCTGCTTTCATTACCATGGTTCCAGCTAAAATTTCTCTTAAGTAAATTCATTGTTGTTTATTTACACTGTATGAAACAAATACGTCAGATCTGTCGGATCTTAAGGCAAAACAAGGGTATGAAGAGGGAGGAGGGATTGGTGGGTGGCGGTTAGCCCGCCTCTCTCTCTCTCTTTCACACACGCACAGCTTGTCAAATAACTTTACTTTATACTTTGCCACAATCACTTCCCCAGCACCGCATGCATGCATGCATAATATCATCAATAGGTCAAAACATAAAAATAATACAAAAATTTTGGTGCACGTGTGAGATTTTGTTATGGTATTTTTCAACTCCTAATTTCTGGCCGATAAAATTAACTTTCTTCATGTATGTATGTATGTAAAGTATGTGTAATAATAAATAAATAATAATAATAATTAACGGTTTATTGAAAAAGTTCTTCAGCCCAAAGGCTGAAATATACATTGGACATAAATGAGTTATTACATACATTGGTGGTTTAACAAAAGCCTTCATTAGAGAAAGGTAAGGGAACATAAAGTGAACACACAGATTAATGTTTACAGTGGAGGTCACGTAGATCATGAACGCTGAGGTGTTGAACAGCAGACACGTAGTGTAGTAATTCCCTCACAGATGGTGTTATGAGGGGCTTGACGTGGTGTGATAATTCCCTCACAGGTGGTGTTATGAGGGGCATCATATGGTGTAATAATTCCCTCACAGACGGTGTTATGAGGGGCATCACGTGGTGTAGTAATTCCCTCGCAGACGGTGTTATGAGGTACCTGACGTGAGGTAGTAATTCCCTCACAGATGGTGTTATGAGGGGCATCACGTGGAGTAGTAATTCCCTCACAAATGGTGTTAAGAGGGCCCTGATGTGGTGGGGTAATTCTCTCACAGATGGTGTTATGAGGGACCTCACGTGGTGTAGTAATTCCCTCACAGATGGTGTTATGAGGAACCTCACATGATGCTGTAGCAACTCATTCACTACGTGGTGTCGTAGCATCATCATGGGGACACCACATGGTCTGGTGTCACAGAACCTCATTCACTTAAGTGAGTGAGGTGTCGTCCCAGGCCTCCCTATCGTGGACGGATTAACACATAGCTGGTGTTGTTGAGTCTCAGGGGCAGTTATCACTGGGTACCTGGGACCTCACTGTGTGAAGGTTAGCTTGGGTACGACTCAGCTGTTACTGTTGAGTTGTTTTTCACTGACTTAAGCACTGTTCACCACTATTCAACACTGGTTCCATTCCTTTCCTAAATTAAATAGTAACTTCTGGCGAGAACTTGTTGATATTCCAGTGGGGAGGAGGGGTTCAGGGGAGGGAATTGGTATGGGCCAACATAACAGTTGACCTGGCTGCTGCCAGAGCAGCGGCAGGTACTTCTTGACTCTTCGGTGGTCAAGGATGAAGTGTGTGTGTGTGTGTGTGTGTGTGTGTGAAGAAAGTTAATTAACTTTCTTCATATTTACAGAATATGAAGAAAGTTATTTTTATCTACCAGAAATTAGGAGTTGAAAAATAACAAAAACATAAATCTCACTCATGCACCAAAATTTTTGTATTAATTTTATGTTTTTGACCTATTGATGATTTTGTGCATGTGTGCGGTGCTGGGAAATTTACATTATTTTTCCATTATATCCACATAAAATCTTATAAACAGAATGAGAAAAAAATTAAATAAATATCATTAGGTCAAAAGCATAAAATTATTAAAAATTTCTTCGTCCAACTGCGAGATTTAGAAGGAGTTACAGTGTCTGCAAATCGCTTTGCAACAGGACCATGTTTTTGCATTCAATGACATGTTGCAAAAATATTTGCGTAAATTAGCTTATACATATCACAAATTCAATTTATCGTTCGTCTGCTGACATGTAGCGGTGTGAATAAGGGATGAGGTAGCAGCTGGCCTCCTCAGTGTACCCCTATGAACAACACTAATTACACAACACAATCTCAAACATACATATCTTCCACAAAAGAGAAAAATATATGATAATTTAGCAATCTTCCTATGAACATTTAAAGTAGTTAAAACACCTCCATACCCTTGTCTATACACTTATTTATAATTTGCTTAACAGTCGTTGTTTCTAAATCCACCCACACTAATCAACAATACCATCTAAGTAATTAATCTTTTATATTATCAACCAGTGCAACCACTCCCTAAATGTCATCATACTTCTCTCTTCTTCCCCATACTTGATACAAAAAGTTTGTTGGCAACTGGCCAAGGTAAATGGATAAATTTGAATTAAGTACTGTATAAAATAATAAGCCATTTTCAATATTTATAAATTTTGCTTCTGTTAATTTTTATTATTACTTTACATATACAGTATACTGTACACACTCTCATCCACATTCCTTAAAATTTGCACCCACCTTCCCCAGCATCACGGCCAGGATGCCAAAATCGGCAGTCATGACGAGTACAGGCCTGTCCATATCTACAAGGTCGAGCAGGAGATGGCTGTGGGGTAGAGGTATCTGGGTATCTCTTAGATGGCGTTGAAGGACTACCTGCCGTTAATATAAGAAATTTAGATGAGAAGATAAACAATTACATATACTGTACTGTACAGTAGTAAATAATGTATATGCTGTATAGGATAATTGATATTACAATGCTAGCATATTTTACCATTAAATATAACTGGATATTAAAATTTAATAATATGCACTGAAAACCCCTTTTTTTTCATCTCAGTAATAAAATAACTCTTCCAATGTGCAGTATTTGGTCACACTAGAAAGGTTATACATGTACAGTACATGGTTAACCACTACTAAAATGATTATATTTTACAAAGTTAATGACCACTCAAATGTAATACTGTATCATGTAGGTACAGGTACTTAATAAGAAGATTCCCAACAATTTCAATCACACTTTATTTTAAAACAAAAGACTGACTGTGCTTACAAGTTCTACATATTCAAACTGACAGACTCTCAGATATCCAAATGATGCCAGATGTATTATCTTTGTATAATGCTACAATAATTTAAAGGCAATAATATTTCCCTCACCTGCACTAAGAGAAGGAGTACTCCTTTCTTTAGTCTTGTTATTTTCTTTATCATTATTTCCCTGTTTAGCTTCTGCATTTTTCTTTTCTTCCTCTCTTTTTTTATCACGAATCTCTGTTAGCAAAATTTCAAATTGGTTTCTCCAGAACTTGATATCCTGTTGAAGTAAACGAAAAAGCCAGCATGTTAGAGCCATTTTCCAACACCTGGGGAGTCCAGTGTTAATTGCAACCACAGTAAATCATAAAGAGAAAGAATATTCCTTTTATCATTCTCAAGGTATGATCACTGGAATGGCAAGAACTAAACAATATACTCTACCTGTACTACTCTCATCATTAGAAAAAAAAAATCTCATGTACTTCATAAAATGAAAAATGTATCCACCCCTATCAAGTCCTCCTGTGTAATAGATAAAACTAATACAAGAGCATTATTATAATCAATGTTTCATAGCCATTTACCATGCTTGTTTAAGTCAGCCATGATTACCTGATACCAGATCTTCTTGCTGCAGTCTCTTACAGCCTCTCATCAGGTTCTTAACTCTCATGTCATTTCTTACCTGTGTCACATTGCACATCCACCTTACCATCCTCATTTCAGCTTGCACTAACCTGCAGATGCCATCCTCTTTAACTGCCATACAAAATCACACTTTTAACAACAATTTTTCCTTTCATGTGGAGAAAAGGTCCTCTTGCCATAAAAAAAGAAAAGAAAAGGCAATAACTCCCTAAACTTCCTCCATCCTTTTTAGACTCTTGTAACTGAGCTAGCTTCATCAGTGCCTCCAGACACTGATCATGTCACCCAGGTAGCAGAACTCATCAACACAGTCCAAAGATAAATCCCCAATGTTGAGTATTTCCAGCCTTTCTAAGGCCACATGATTACCTGTGTATATAGGACACTCAAAGTGAGCAACTTCCTACAGTCTACAATCTACACCACTGCACCACCTTCCACACTCACTGCATATTACAGTGTGCTGAGTTGTTGCCAACACCTAACAACAGCATATGGCTATTTTCCACTTTTCACCATGGGTGACTTGACTCACAACACTTTGAATATTCCATCCTTCCCCTCCTAAAATTTTTCCACCCCTTCTTCAATACTATCTGCTATCAGCACTAAGTCATCAGCATACAACAACTCTCATGGAAGATCAGTCTTTAAAGTCCTGTGATATTGCCTTTAGCACCATGATAAACAAAAGAATGCTCAAGATGGACCCCCGACAAACCTCCACGTTCACCTCAAATTTCTCATCATTAACTCTCACAGCAGTTTTTGAGTCTTCATATAATAATATAACCACTCAACAAGACACTCCTCAACCCCTAGCTTTCTCACTGCCCACTTTACTACTTCATATGGTACCCTGTCAAATGCCTTCTGAGTCTACAAAGTACATTACAGTAAAAAATCGATTTTGAAACCTTCAAATGACTACAGGTTTAGCTGACCTTAAGTCATTTATGAGTGGTGATCTACAGGCAGATATGTGAGATACAGCGCCATCCTTCAAAGTGTCACTGTTGTATTAGATACAGCCACTCCTCAACTTACGATGGGGTTAGGGACCCAAATCCAGGTCGTAAGTCGAAGTGGTCGTAAGTTGAAAATGCGAAGATAATACATAGAAAATCTAAAATGGGTGTCTCTTTTTCTTCTCAGCACCACAAAACTCACTTTTAAGCATGTCAGCCATTTTAAAGGGAATTACAAGCAAAAATTTTGTCAGTACACAGCGCAATCACTAACGTCGGGACTTGAAAATACGTAATTTGAAAAAAATTTGGTATGACTGTGCCGGTCGTACGTCCGGGTGGTCATAAGTCAAGTAGGTCGTAAGTCGAGGAGTAGCTGTATACACCATCAAGACCACACACAAATTGTGCATTAATGATTCTTTTTTCTTGATGAAAACATTGATTTAAGTGATAAAAATGGCCTCCAAGAATGGTGAAATGAAGAGAAAGCATGCAGTGATAAATATTTGCAAAAAATTTAAAATTACAGATAAAATAGAGCCTGGTATTTCAGTTACCAGCATTGCTGTTGGCTGGATTTTTAAGGAACCTTAGTCCCATGTTATAGGGACAGAAGAGCCACTAAGCTGTTTATGACATCTCTATAGTGATGAGATGATGAACTAATGAGGGAAGGATAGGTGTATGTGTATGTGTGTGTACATACTGTATTATGATTGACATGAAGTAGAAATTATATTTTTAATTTTTTATGTACAATAAAATGTTTTAATAAACATTTCTCCAACAAGAATGATTTGTTTTTCACACTTTCCCAATTTAACAAAATCAAGAGAGAGAGAATAGCCTATAAAATATCATGTTAACACACGGTTTGATTTGTTTATACTTACATAATTATACAAATTCTCGATGAGACTTAAGACAACAAAATTTCTCCCCACCCTTTGATACATATAGTGAATGGCCTGAATAAAAATACCTGTACAGTTCACTGTATTTCAATTGCCACTCAGCTCAGTGACTCATCTGCCAAGCACACTACCTGTAAGTAACCTTCATCTGAAACGACACCCTTACGTGAATATGTGGTGTTTACACTTAGTTTCTACTCTTTATAAAATGGTCATTATTATCCTCCTTTGCTTTATATGCTTGGTGTCATTTGTCTTGATATACTGTACATAATGATAAATGAAAAGAGAAGAAGTAATGGGGAATGTGTTCTCCAAAAGCGTGAATTTGTGTGTGACTTCAAAGGTAAATACTGTACTGTATTCCTTATTTCAAACGTTTTTTTCCATTCATATACTGCATTGAAAGTTAATATTTTCAAGCAGTTAAATCTTTACAGACATTACATTCACCATTAGAGCGAGCCAGAATTGGGTATCCTTACAGTTTTATATGAATTTATTTACGATATATCAATATGAATTGTATAATGTATAAGCCAAGAAGATGCATGGGGGTAGGGCTTGTACTGTCAGCTACAAAAGCCTAACAACTATATGGTCTAACCTCCACTCAGGGGATATTTTACTATTGTAGAAAAGGAAACAGCCCTAATATTAAGCATCCCAGCAAAATGCATGGCCACTACTGAGTAAGAGCACTTTAAAGCCAAGATGAACACTTTCCTCAGGATCTCACACAGAGGAAAAGAATTACCATAAATTATCCCCCCCTTTTTTTTACACAACCCACAGCTGATGCGCCACTAATAAAAATCAAAACACTTCATCACGAAAGCTTATCTTTCATGCAGCTGAAAAACAGGAATGGAAAAATTAGTTCTTTCAAGATGATATGCATCATTGACACAGAAGACCAACCTTCTCTATACTCCAAATTTTCTAAGGGAGTGTAGAATCATTTCCCACTAAATATGTGCACAATTCAGATCCCCATGAAATAGGACTGTCCTGTCTCTAAATGTAGCTTTCAAAGACTATGAATATTACTATCTTAAGTAATAGAGGGAGTCCCTAGCTCCAATACCAGAGCTGCAAAACCTAGCTTAGCCACCATTTTCTCCCAATGTTGAAAAGATACAGACTCTTTAGACAGTAGAGTATAGACCTCCTTTGGAAAAGAATGATTAATATCTACTAGAAGCCCAACCAACCCATTCCTTGTGTTCTATTGGAGATCGAGTCTCTGGAAAATTTGTCTTGAAGAGAACTTAATCTTCCCTTATACTGGACACAAAAACCTTGCTTTAGCTACAGTTTAAATTATAAGCAGTGTATCCCAGTCTACTTTTCCATAACAGGAAAAAGCAGAAGACTCTAGGCTAATTATCTTATGAGAATAGCAATAGATTCTAAAAAATTGAGATACAGGTTATAGCCCAATTCTATCAACATCACATAAAGAAAAAAGAGTTAAACTGCACCATGTAATGCTGGATTCACCTGCAATGAAACAATTATAATTCTTTAATCCCCTAAACGTTGAAAGTTAATCTTCTTTAGTCATGAATATATACTGTATCAATGATGCAATTCAAATAATTCTCATAACAAGTGCAAAATTGAAAGCACACAAACTTAGGTACTACACTGTACTGAGTATAAGTTTATCAAGCTAATTGCTTGTTTGCCCTATGGTTAGTTTCTACATACCCCTGCAAAATGACTGATTGTACAGTATATAATTCATCTGGCATTGTAAAAGTTAAGTCAGATGATAACATTACCCCTGTACAGGGTTACGAAATAGTTCTGTTCCTGAGGACGTTCTTAAGTCGGAAATGTACGTAAGTCGGAACACATGCTATGTGCATATCGTACTTACAGAACAGAGTTAAAAATTTCACTATATCATAGCACAAGTCCTTGTATACATCTAAAATCACTTAATTTAGGACAAAAGAAGAAATACAATGACAAAATACAGTAAATGAAAGTAAAAAAAATAAGTCATCAGGTAAATAAAATACTGTAAATTTAAAGTTTAACCTAGTTCATAAGCCGGACGTTCTTAAGTTGGGGACTCCCTGTATAGGCAAAAGAGGTCTGGTGTTGCCTATTGTAAAATCATTCCTTTTAATAACTGGGGGTTACCTCAGATCTCTTTTCTTGATATGAGGACCTATTTTATTTCATAACCACAGGCATAATCTTACCTGTGCACTATCAAGGCCACAGTTCATTGCCAATATATTTGGTAAAGTTTTATAGCGCCGCCACTGCTCTATAGGTTGGTATCTGACACAAGAATCACACCAAGCTTGTCTTGTTTGTTCAAGGCTCATACTCAACTCCACCACTGAAGAAAATGAACAGCTACCTGAAAGTATATTTTTAACAGAAAGAGATATGAATAAGACAACTTAATTTTGCAATATACTGTACAGTGCAATAGTTTGGAGAATTGTGCCTTTTACCTAAATAGCACAAAATCATATATTTCACATGAAAGATTCTTTCCACACGTGACATAATTTAAATTTCTTTTCTCTGCTTTAAATCTAAATGTGATGATATTAAAACAGCAGCCAGTATATAGATTTACATAAGTAGAGGATAATTACAATAACAGAGGAGCAAGTCCATTAAAATAGAGTTATTATTAAAGTAAAGGACTCATTATGAACCACACGTTTATTGAGCAACAGCTTAATGCCAGCAAAATAATATGATTCTCTGATATAATTAATGAATGGAACTAAAAATTAGGGAAATGCTAAATTTATTTACAAGCACTATTTATCACTTTCCAGTCAAAAAGTGTTTTCAACTAAAAAGTCTGACCTACTGTAATACTGCACTAAAAAAAACATTAGACCAAGGTACTCTACTCTTCAATACAGTATACTGGTTAAGAATCTATTTTAATTTTTTTTTAATTTGAGTATTTACTGGAAATTACTGACCCTTAAGATAATTAAAATATTTTTATTACACCAATTACATGATCCCTGTATGCTTTAGATTATTTTATTTTTTATTTTACCATTAATATAGATGGACTGTACCATGTACTGTATACTCTGTACAAGATACTTTCCTCTCTAAAAGAATTTTTGGGCAAAATAATGCCTTATTTAATACAAGTACAGTACTGTATCCAAGCATGATCAGTTATATTGTTATACCTGTCATATCAAACCTTAATATTCTTTCCTCATACATTAATAATAAAAACAATGAAAAATTAAAGCATTTTACTCTGACGCTCATTAACTCTTGCACGCACTGTTTGACTGCAGTCAAATAAAACAAATACTATACTAATACTGTATATGCAGTGTTTAACTTTTCTCCTCATCTTTCAAGAAATGTGCAACTTTGCTGGAGTGTTCCAGCAAAGGCCCTTAATCAGCCCACCCCCTTGTGGTAGTGAACCCAGACTGCCCTCCTATTAGGAAATGTACCAAAGTTAAACAGTATTTCATTATTTTTTCATATGTTAGGAAGTAAATTAGAATAGTTGTGAACTATTTATCATTAGTTAGATAGGTTTTGTTTTTGTTTGTGAACCATTTTCGTGTTTTAAGGGTATGATACAATATTGGGGTATTTTGTCAATGAGGACCCAAACCCTATTTTTCCCATATGTTTATTTATTTGTGATAATAAAATTCACCTAACGGACATCTTTTTTTACCTAACCCATTCGAATCTCGGGGGATACCTGTAGAACCTCCCAATATTTTTCTTAGATCATACTACAAACATAAATTGAGTACTGTTATTGTTATGTTTTGTTTGCTTTACCTGAAATCAAAGGTACAGTATATTATTTTGCTTCTAATTTTAAGAATAATACCTGTACTGTACTACATTTTAAGAATTCCTGACAATATTTGATAATGTTGGCTAAATTTTATGCTATGAAATGAGGATTCCATAAATACTTCATTTTATATTTTTCCCCTGTTGTCAAATGTCAAGAGAAATATGAATGCCAGATATGGACATATTATGATATTAACTTGATATAATGTACAGGTAGTAAAAAAGGACCAGTTTGCATTTTCATATTTTACTTGGGAATTCAGCTTGAAAATGAAGTATGTATCCAAAGGGTTAAAGGAAAATATTTTCAATTTTAATTTCATTTAGAATAGTCTTTTGCTATAAACTCCCATTATTTAATTTTTCTTGTAAAGGTGTATCCCAAAAACCGACGTCCTGTTAACTGCTGCTTTGCATAACCGACGATTACATATAAGGGAAATACCCCATAAGTTTTGTTGGTATCCCAGAAATCTGACAATCAAGATAAGAGCAGCAGAGCTGTTCTGAATTTGGCAGGTGGTAGCATGGTGTGAATTCTTGCCACAAGAGGGTTCTGCTCACTGCCCTAACTCATTCCTGCCATCTTTGCTCTTGTTAACACTTACTATGTCAATGACTTTGTGTTTTTTTTTATTTCTGACTTAGTGGACTTAAGTGTGTTACTCAATCATGCCTAAATGCCCCAGTGATAGTTCCTCTTGTGCCGGGCAGCTTGATGTGATGTGATAAGGCATAATAACAATGGTGACGAACCAGCAAAGAGCAGTAGAGACTAGAACTTGCCACTCTAGACCGTCTCTACCATCCTCAACACGGGTAAATAAGTCTCAATTTATGCTTGACATTGCTTTATATGTCTGCTTTATTTTCTTACTTTACAGTTTGCATGACAGAGATATAACATGGGTAGATGGGAGTTTTGGGACAGTGGCCATTACCCAACCCCTTGAATTTGTGATGTTCTAATGGGATTAATTGCTTCGATAACCATTGATTAATTATCTAACGATGTTTCCAATCCGTACATGCATCAGTTATCGGGGTACACCTGTATATAATTTTGCTAAATTGGTGATTAGGGAAATAGCTAACTAATTCACTTTCCCATTTTGAAGAGCAGACCTACCACACATTTGACCATGAAGTGCTTCTCATTTACATAAGAGTTGGGAGCCATTCAACAACACTGCTACCACTCTTTCTTCCACTCATAACTTTTCCAGGCACTCTTGACTTTACATGTACTTCCTTCACTAGTCCCCAAGTCAAATCTCCTTTTCCTTTGTTTCACAAAAAAGGAGAACATCCAGGTTCCATTCACTAAATTTTCAATCACTCTCCTTCTCACTCAGATTACATCCACACAGAGTCAAATATCCCATTGCGATTTGTTTTTGTTTGTTTTTAGCAACTGAATCTAAAAAAAGGTAAAGGAAGGGGGAAGGGGTGATATGACCAGACTAAAATCGGTCATCTCTAAATTAGGAGGGGAGAGGGGATCAAGTCTCAAGCAGGTTATGTATTCCTATGCCCATATTAATGATACGTTAGTATCACGGGATCAAATTACCTAAAGAATTTTATACTATTCTGATTAGAATGGTTACATAGAAAACTACATCTAATGTTTTACTTTGTAATCAATTACTGTATACTGTAGTAATAAACATGCAAAATTATAAGATATAACTTATCACATACTACATCATACCAAGTTGACTTCATTTATGTAAAATGGCTTCATTGAAAATCATGTCCTCAAAAAAAAAAAGCTTTGATGCTTACCATCCATGACATCAGGAAAGTTTAGGTTGACAAGAAGCGAGGTGGTGTCTTTATGGATCTCATGGTTACATCTGGCACACTTGTTGATGCTGACCACATGTGATCCAAATATATTTGCTACTGGTGAGTACTCCCGCTTGTCTTGTCTGTCAATTGTGTTCCCTTCCTCAGTTTCTGGAATGGTTGTAATTTTCCATTTCATTGACTTAGAATTAGAAATTCATTCATTAAGAAACTCCGATGAACCAATATACTGTATATCTATATTTATCTTCTATAAATAAATAATATTCAGTTTAGTTACCAGTACAATAAACCCTCAACTATCATTAGTTCTATCAATGCAGTCTCTATACACACTGCAAATGCTCTTAAGCCAAACATTTGAAGTAGACGATCATTGTTTTATATAATGTATGCTGTGGAACCGTACTTTGCATTACAGTAGATCTTTGCTACTCTAAGCATGCATGCATGGCCATATATTGGATATACAGGCACAACTAAACTGAGATCAATAAAAATGAGTCAGGTTCTACTCTAGTATTTCAAAGTCTCCTCCCTAAGACCTCTTATAAACAAGAGTACTTACTACTGACTTCTTTCTCCTCTATACTCGAGTCTAATATCTGGCAGCCCATTTGGAACATCCTCTCATCCATGGAGTCAACACGGGGATGATCCATTTTTTCTTCAAGAGTTTCAGTATGCAGTTGTTGTAGCACAAACCTGTTCCAACTCTAAGAGCCAAAGAAAAACAATAAAATTATTAATCCCAAGCCTTAGAATAAATATTGTATTGTATTTCCCTTGAAATACTGTAAATAATAAATATTGTGTAAAAAAAAAATGTGAATCTCACTCACTCATGATGGCTCCAACACAATCTCCACCAATTATACACGTAATCATGAGCATGAAATTGTTTACAATACTCATGTATATCCATTAAATGTTCAATGTCATCTCATTTCAACTTAGCAATGAAAAGTTGTTAAAATTTTTACACATACAGTACTGTATATCTATATTTTACATTTCTTCCATTTCCAAATGTATTGAGTGGATTGCTTGTAGATAAATGTTCTGGTGGGTACAGTACTTCAGAAGAAAAGTTACAGACATTAGTGAATGAATTTGGATGAGTGTAAGCTAGACAAAAGTTGATAGTGAATATGAAAAAAAAAAAAATTATCCAATAAAATTAATCAGTAGACAGCAGGTAAAGAGAGGAGATGGAGAAATAAATGTTAGTATGAATGTGGATAGAAATGAAGAAGTAGAGTATAGGTACTTCAGATATATGAGAGGGGATGTATCAATAAGTATAATGAGGAGAGATTAATTTAACCACAGAGTAATGGGAGGAAATAAAGTTTAAGGTGAACTAACAATGTATGGAAATAGAGTACCAAGTCTAAGGAGTTAAAAACTGGGATGTATAAGGGAACTGTTGAACCAACATTATTATCATATATGGGTATGAAGCATGACCTGTGGATACAAGAAGAAGCAAATAAGAAGCAGTGGATATAATGTGCTTGAGAGTAGGAAGTAAGGCCAATAAGATGCATGGGCATGGATAAAACCTTAAAATAACTCATCAAAATGAATGAAAACAATATTAGTCTCACCTGGATCTTTGAAGCAAAGTTGATCTTTGCTCGATTATCTTGATCTGAGAGTGTAAGACTCATAGCAGAAGCTTCAGGGATAGTTCTGAATGCTCTCAAAAAATTAGAAGCATGACAAGGTATACCTTGTCCCATACTGACATCAAGCATATGGAAGAGGAAGCCCAGCTCACACACTAAACAGAACTCTCGTTCACACAAGTGGGACATCATCAGTGCACGAAGAGGGGCAATATAGTAAAACATCTGGAAAAAAAATCATACAATATCAATTCATAATTCTCACATTTCAAGTTAAATTACTTGAACACATTTTACCTGTGTGTGGCACAGCAGTTGGTTGTTGACCTCTCCCATTAACTTGGTACAACTTGATAATAATATACAGCGCGCACGCACACACTCGCGCGCGCACGCACACACTCGCACGCACACACACACACCGACAAATCCTTGACCACCGTAGACTCAAGACCCATTCAGGCGCTGCTCCCGCTGTGCAGCTGCCCCCCTTGGCCAATGTCGGCCCATTCCCCAAGTCCCTCTCCCCCACCCATCCTCACCACCTGGATATCTACATAATCAAAAGTGAAACAATTTCGTTTTGGAAAGAAGTGGGATCAGTGTTGAACAGTGATGAACAGTGTTTAAGCCAGTGAATTCAGCACTAGACAGTACCAATCAAAGCCACAACCCACCAGTGAGATAAGCACCCATGGGAACTAACCACCATCTTCTGACCAGGAGGTGCTAATCCGTCCACCCTGGGAACAACAGAGGGCCGGCCGGCTATGCACCTGACTACGAGATAACACAACATCACCGAGCTGAGTGAGGTACTGTGACACCACCCCACACCACACGGTGTCCTCATGACCACATGAGGTCCTTCATATCAACACCTGAGGACGAGTCGCTGTACCATGTGAACACCACACCACCCGATGTCTCCATGACCATGTGAGGTCCTTCATATCAACACCCGAGGATGAGTTACTACACCGTGTGAACACCACACCACCCGATGTCTCCATGACCACGTGAGGTCCTTCATATCAACACCCGAGGACGAGTTACAACACCACGTGAACACCTCACCACCTGTTGTCTCCATGACCAGCCCAGGCCCGGGCCATCAACTGTAAACTATAATAATTTGTATGTTCAATCATTGTTCCTTTTTCTTTCAGAAATGAAAGCTTTTGTTAAACGACCCACCCACCCCAAGTCTTTGTATGTAATAAGTCATTTTTGTCTAATGTATATTTTCAGCCTTCGGGCTGCCGAACTTTCTCAATAAACCGTGTGTGTGTGTGTGTGTGTCCCACCTCCCTTCACTCCTGGTGGTGCACTCCACTAAGCTACTCGGCGTCACTCTAGATAAACTAAATTGGAAAACACACACCAGTACAGTTGTCATATCCTCCAGTTTTCGTCTCCACCTCCTCTGCCGACTCAAGACCCTCGGAGTTCCTGCGCCCAAGCTCCTCGGTGTTTACTCAACATTCATACTTTCCAAGCTCACCTATGCCTCCCCTGCCTGGTCTTCCTCCCTAAATTCCACACAATGGAAACACCTAGAAAAAGTGCAAAAGAGGGCAGGCAATATTATTCTCTCCCCCACCTACTCCACATATCAAAAAGCGCTCAACACACTGATCCTTTCGGTTCTCTCCGATCATCACCATGACCTCAGACGCAAATTTGGTGAGAAGCTTCTGCACCATCCTCAACACCGGCTCCTACTTCCACCCAAGATCCTTCATCTGCGAACTGCTGTTCGACACCACAACTGCATCCAGCCCAAACAAGCATGTACTGATTGCTATAAGAACAGCCCAGTCCCAACCATTGTAAAAATTATCATCAACTCATAATCAACCAGTGTATTCACTCCAAGCCAATCTTACCTTTTTGCACTTTCACTATGTTGAAATGCCCTAAAGTATAACCTTCTCCCCACTTTGTTATTATATATCATTTCTATCACTTATGTTACTTTCACATTATTTGTCAATCAAGTGTCCCATTCCCCAATATGTAACTGTTTATTTTCGGCCTTCTGGCTGCCATGCTCTTTCAACAAACCATTATATTATTATTATATTATTATTATTATTATTACATACACTAATGAACCGACAGGCATCAGTTCTTTCTCTCATAATTTTTAATTGTTTATGGACTAGTATAAATTCTAATCTTCTTATGCAATTAAAATATCTTTGTTGCTGACATGCAGTAATAATATTATATTTTCAACATCAATAAGTATGCACTGTAATTGTAATGACCCAGTTACAACTTTATCTAAACTGAAGTCTGTGTGGTAAGGCCAAAATCTTATGTAGGGTGGGCCACGATGATATACCAGTACCTCTTTTTAAGTCGGCCATGATGATGTAGCGGTACCTCTTTTTAAAGGTATCCCACTGTAACTATTGTAATGATATTTCTTTTCTCCAGGTTTATGAAGCAGTGGACCTAATTTTTATCTGTTATATTGTAGACAATGCACAGAAATTTTTCTGTACAGAAGCAGTCATTCATTTTAGAGATCTATTTTGCCATAAAATTAATGGTTGGTACTAAAGGATACTTTTATAAGAAATTTCCATATTCAAGAATTCTGTATTACAAGAAATGTTTGTTATCATTTCAAGGGAGTTCGTGGCTGATAATCTACTTCAAGAACACCAGAAAATATCAAGGCTGTGAGGTAAAGTGTGCAATCCTCGCCAATAAGTCAGCACGTAAACTATCTCAGTTTGTAGGGACTTCACAAACGGCAGTATACAGATTTATTTATGATGATTTGGAGCTGTGTCCTTATAAAATATATTTATTGTAAAGTCAGAATAATAGAAATAAAAGTGAGGCGGTTGAACTGCCTGCAGATAGAAAAGGGCAATGCTTTCTTTACTGATGAAGCTCACTTCCTGATGAATAATTTACAGTAAAGCATCTGTTGAAAAATTGAGTTTAATTCAACCTATAAGGCATAAAGGTTTAGCAAAACCACATTTCTTTGAAAACAACATGGGGTGAACAGTGACTGTTAACACACAATGACACACAGACATGCTGAAAAGGAAATTTCTTCTTTCACCAAGAAAAACTTATCTGTGAATTGTAGAGTGAGCAGTGAGCAGTGGGACCACCAGCTCAGTGAGAGGGTGATGTTGGAAATGATGAGGGTGAGGATGACTGACTGGGAGATCAATTCAGAACTGATTATGCTCAGTTGTTTCTGTGATATTATGGTGCACCTGGTCTCCTCCTCCTCAACATGAGAGGGATAAGTTTAGGTTTCTCATTACCCCTTCCTAAGACTAACGTTGCTTTTTGGGAGATTAATTAATTGTCAGGATTAGTCCCAGCCACTATTATCAAGGTCTTCTGGACCATCGACCGATGTCTACGTGAGTCCAGTATATATAATTGAGACACCAAGGATCATAACAATAAATATAATGCCATAGTAGTAAATAATACATATAAGCCCAAATCCGACATATAACATTAATCCAACATCTTGACTTTTGACGTGAATATGGTGCTCTCCACTTTGTGTATTGATTATACATACTGTACTCATTTTAATTTTATTCAAATCATTTACATCACAACAAGAATATGCATCAAACACATAAATATTGCTTAGAATCAATTAGAAAAGTAAGACCCATGCTATCATATTTTACAGGCATCCCCCGGGTGACGGAAACTCTGGTTATGGAATTTCGCTCTTACGGATCTTGTAAATTATGACCAATAAATTCTGAATACAGACAAAAAATTCACCCATACTTGGTGATTGCTACAATACTGTGCAAGGTGAGGCAGGAGCCAGTAGTGCCCCTCCGTCTCCCTCCCAGTAACTCCGATTGCACCACCTCACCAAATGCAGCACTCAACATCGTTTGTGGTAAGTTAAATTCAAGTGTATTATTACAGTACATGTTAAAAAAAAAAAAAAAATTCATAAATGTGCTTATATAACATCTTCTTGCCAAAAATATTTCCTTGGGAACGCCTCTCCAATTATATTATGGAAGTCAATGGGAAAATTGGTTTCGCGTCACGGAATTTCACGTTACGGACAAATTTTCAAGGACACATACCTTCCGTAACCCGGGGGATGCCTGTACATCCTTTTTCCAACAAGCATATGAAAATCTTACCTGTATCATTGGATTACAGTAGGAGTTTGGAAGAGACATGTCAAGTCCAGAAAAACTAGTTCGGTTGTACTGATCGTAATCAAAGTCATCCATACCAAGCTTTCCATACTTGATCTCTATTTTCCTGTATCTCCATGGGACATGAACTGCAATTCCTTCTTCATTTTTCCCCAAAATATTTTCACTCACATTCGATTTTTGCCCTTTTGTGCGGCTGAATTTATATGGGACCTGGAGAAATGATTTAGTGTAAATATTAAAGAAAAATTTGTGATTTTATTTGGTAATCAAAGAATATTCAGTCTTCCATCAACTGTGATATACTAAGCAAGTAAAGCTGTTCAGCATAATTTGACTAGTTATTTATTAATACCAGAATATTGAAATAGAAGTTTTCAAGAAAATAAGACCTATCAACAATATTTTTGCCTAAGATTCTTCCTGCAGAAGTGCATCATTGCAAAACATGGCAAATTAACTTTTCATTATATTTTTCAATAAGAAGACATCTTTCTTAATAATAACTAGTACAGGGTGCATAAGGTTATGGTTCACAAGTACAGTACGACCCTCCTAAGTCAGACTTCCATAAGTCAGACCAGTGTCTGTGGATCTGCCATCACTTACCCTACACCTCAGAGTCAGAATTGGTGGTTACCCCTTATCTGCCACCTTGCATCCTCAATTCCAACAGTGATTAAACTAAGAAATAAATGCTAGATTTAAGTGTAATTGTACAGATATATATAAGTGAAACTAAATAGTACAAGTGAAACTACAGTAAAGTAAGTTTAAGCAGCCCCCCTTTGTCCTCCAACTCAAGATTCATCAAGATTTGTTTGCTACAATAATCTCTAAATAAGTACTATTAACTTTAATTTTGCCTTTGGATGTGATTTTTCAGCAAAATTGTGGTCGAAATTACTGGGGAAGGCACACAAGTCGTACTTTCATAAAATAATTGTACCAAATATTTAAGTCGGCTTAATACAGTACATGGTTTACATTATACAATATTAGAATTTATTAACACTAAATATCATACAAGAATGTGGATATCTCACAGCAGAAAGTGGGCAATCCATTTCATTTCCCATGAGACCAATTTCCTGGACATCCCTTCAACAAGTCTTTTGAGTACAGTACAATACAGTGAATAATATAGAAACTTGTAAAGCTACACTTACAGGAATTGAGAAACAAAGTACTGTACTGTACAGTACAAAAAAAAACTATTGGTAGATTACGTGACAGAGGGACTCATGGTTAAGGATGACAAATTATAACATTTGAAAGGGGTACAATGAAAAGAAGAGTTGCTTAAAAATTCAGGGAAAGACAAAAATTTCACATAGAGTATTACTGTACAGTACTATACATCTAAATGAGACGTTCAGGACTGAGTAAAAATTGAAATGAGGAAAGTCTGCCGTGGTGCATCATACTCCGAGACTTAAGGAAACACTACATAAACTAGATGCTATAAATCAAGAACAAAAGATACATACACTAAGATCAATAGTGGAAGTTACAACAATAAATAAAAATAAATCTTGACAAATCCCAGACTTACCTGGTTCCTTTTTTTGTTGTGCAAGTTTGGAGCATAACCAATGGAACCAACAAGCTTCATACTTTGCAGAATGGATCCATCAACAGGTGGTGTAGGTCTGTTGCAACCAAGCAGATACAATAAATACAAATAAATAGTATAATTGCCATAGATTTTTTTATTATTAAATGCCATTTCTCATATATATTATAAAATAAAATCTAAATACTGTACCATTGACACGACTTTTTTAATAAGATAAAATGCACCACTTAGCATGAAGTCATGAGCACAACCTCTTCCACGTGTCCTATAACATATTTCCTCCTCAGATTCTTCTCTCCCACATAATCATAATACTGTACCCTTCAATCTCACCCTTAATCTCCAATTGTTTTTCTTCACTTCACTCATGAACATTCTTTGTCAATGTTCTTTAATTTTTTGTTTAAGTACAGGTAAACCCCGAGATACGATATATCACTTTAACGATGGTTATAAATTACCACAATCTCCATAAATACGATCAAAACAACTCGCTTTAACGATATCCATCGAATAGCCATTGATAGCTATTGGTCAGAACTTTTTTCTCCGGTGCAAATTATGGATTGCTTATACTAAAATTAATTGCCGTCTTACAAGGATTCCAGCAATGCAAGTTATATTTTTCTATGTCAAGTCAGTGACTTTTATAAGGAAACAATATTTAACCCGATGTACCATGCATCTCTACCTTCACTTGTCAGCCTACCCACCCACCGCCTTACAGCCAACCCGAGTACCACGTGTTCACAAATTCACCGAGAGATGCTTTCCATATTCTGCATTAAAGAGGAATATTGAAAATAGGGAGATACCTGTACAGTAGCTAAAACAACTGTCTGTGCAGGTGGGGGTCGATATGCTCCAAAATTTTACTTGTGACAGTCCTCATATATCAAAATTTATCGTTCATGGTCTCATATTGTTTCCCACAAAGTATGAACAGATAATTGTTTTAGCTACTGTACATCATATGATGGACAACATGTAACTGCTACATATATCATGTGATGGAAAGCAAGTACAGTAATAAGACTGCACGTGTGGAGAGCTATGTGGGAGGCAGGAGGAGATGTGTGGACGTAGGTGGGTGTGCAGAGGGCTTGGGGAGGCGTGTGGACCCATTTATTTTTCCATACTTCTACGTTGAGAAACTTTTTGTACTGTGATTTTTTTTTGTACATGGGCCGTATGCCCCTGAAAACCGAATTGCACAATTGTTGCATTTTAAAAAAAGATGTAAATGGACCGTGCATGTTACTCTAAAAATGGTGTAAAACAAACACATGTAAATTAAGAGGTACTTGAACAGTTATATGACAAATACAAAATTAAAGTAAAATAAAAAAATAAAAAAAACTATTGGACATTACCTGTAAAGAGCTTTCATATACTGCTCTGGCCAGTCAGAAAGCAGTGCACTTGTTGGGTAATACATGGGCAGAGATGCTAAAGAAGCTGTGTTATCTGTCACAGGCATTGTCTGGGTCTGCTCTGGTAAATCTGGCATGATGGTTTCCTGGTAAGAAAACAGTGTTGTGAGCAGTGTTATACAGTAGTACCTAGATACACTGGACTAATTGGGGCAGACCCCAGTGGTGAAACTGTGAAAGTCTGTAAAAAGCGAATCTAGGGGGTTGGAGATAACACTGTTTATCTGGACATAAAATTATTACAGTACTGTACTGTATTGCATATATTTCACTTAATGTTTATTATTGGCTTATAATCGCTGTGTACTGTATACCCCTCAAAAAATAAATCATTAAAACCATGTTTTGTGGCCTTTAAGATGTTTTGGCAGGTGTTTTTTTTTCCATAAGAAAATATCTCCACTTTTATAAGTGGAGTCTATGAGAAAATGTGCTTTGATTAACCAAAACAATATTCATGAATATTTTTCTAGAATGGAACCCTTTTATAAATATGGTAATGTCTGTACTTTTGCATGGAGCAAAGAAATAATATTTATAGGAAAGCCAGCTATTACCTTAATGTTAACAATTTGTTGGCCAAAATATAATTACCTGAGAAAAATTGTTGAATCTTGGTTTACTACCAGACGTGAAGAGATGCAGTGATCCTAAGCTATCCCCGAAAACAATAGCTTGTGAGGACGGGGCAACATCAAATGTTGTGATCACACTTTCTGGGACACAGTTGATCTGAAATAACAGCAAGTCAAAAAAACAATTGGTTTGGTTCAAGAAAAATATAAAATTAGGTGCTGTTACAACATTCCCAATTGAAAAATGAGGGAATAACCCTGAAATCCAATTATATGATTAAGGCCAAGCAAATTTTCTTGTATGTCCTAATGTCCATACAACATCGTATATGATCACAGCACCTATACTATTTGATATACAGTAGTTATCACTGCGACACATATTTGGCTTTAATGATTCTTTAAAGATGAAAAGAAATTAGAGAAGCATTACATCATCACCAAATGACCTTGAATATTTAACCCAAAATCATTATGGGTTATTATGAGCACCCATGAGTCACATGAAATCATTATGAGCACCCTTGATTCACTTTTTGTCACTATGAGTAACTTGGTATCATTATGAGCACCTGTGGTTGTGTCACTTGGTGTTAACTTTGATTCACTTGGGGTAATTATGAGCACTTGTGAGTCACTGGGTATCATTAAGAGCACTAGTGAATTAAGATAAGAACCATGGGTGTTTATGAGAATCTATTAGCCACAAAATTCCACATGGGGTCAAACTTCTTCCCCAAACACATGATCTTACTCTTCCAAGCATTTTCTTTTTATTTCCTGCTACTTAACAACCCTGTACATCATTCATCATCTTTTGCAGTACCTATTCCCTTCCCACAAAAGCTCTGTATCAGCTTGAGACTTGTAACTACTGGTCACATTTCACCATCGTCACTACAGCGTCACCGTTGATTATAAACGCCCTTATTTTTACGAATCTCCTGCACTCACTAGGCATCTTACAGCCGAAATAAGTGAAAACGGGACAAGTGGCAACTGTCCCAACTATCCTGAGCATCTTCGAAGTCATAACAACTTTGGGGGAGGGGGTGAGATATAGAGCTGGCCTCCCTGCCTTATCCCATATTTAACCCTCCCTTGATCACTCTCTCCTTAATAAAGACACACTAGCTTACCACACAACATATTCATTTCATATCTAACTTACAAATAAAATCATATTGTTGTATTGTGTTCAGTAACGTGAAGTAGTGTGAATAAGTAACTAATAACAACTGTCCCGAATGTCTGAGAGAGTGGGGTGGGAGTGAAGGACAGAGCTGAGTATAGGCCAGCCACACCACAACCTGTCATTCCTCTCTAACCCAGCCTATGAGTGAATTGTGTCTAGCCTCTGCCTTTTCTCACACTTTTACTTTTCCATGAGTCTGTTAGTTATGAGAGAAAAGAAATAAAATATTTATGAATGCAAAATAGAAAAAACTCGCTCGCTTGCCTGAGAGGCTCTGGGGAATTCCCCGAGACCCACAAACACATTCTGATGGATAGCGGGAAGTTTAAATGGCCAGTGTTAAATTATGCAATTTTCTGTTCTTTTTACAACAAAATATGCCATTTAAGAAAAAATTACCTGGCAGGATGACTTTTAACAGAAATGGTGGATGCGTAATGGGATAAATTACACTTGCTATTTCCATTACCACTTCATTTCTATAATACAGTATACCATTTATGATGACTAACCATGGAGATATACCCTTATACAGCATGCCCTTCAAATTTGCGGGGGTTAGGTTCTCAAAATGCCCGCGAATCGCCAAATCTGCAAATAACATTTTTACTTGTGTACAAAGTAATGTATACAGTATTCCCTTTGTGTTTGCCCTTAGGACAATCATTTCTTTGACCTGTATTGTATATATATATATATACAAATGTGTGTGTGTGTGTAGATGCACACAAGAACACACACAAATAAATAATAATGGGAAAATCCTCTCACATATAAACAGAAACAAAATTATTATAAATGTGAGTCAACCCTCAAGTCTACTCCGTGGTTTGCTATTAATAAAGCACGTAGTAGACTTGAGGGTAAACTGTCATATTTTTAATAAATTTGTTTCATATTTTTGTGAGAGGATTTTCCCATTATTATTTATTTGTATGCGTTTTAGCGTGTGTGTGTGTGTGTGTGTGTAGACACACACATACACAGTATATACAATACAGGTAGTGGAAATTACTGTCTCTAAAATGAATGTCTCCCTGTCCCGGCCGCGAAAATGCCAGCAACTTTAAAACTACCCACAGACATTCTTGGGTACATCCAGGGTGTCATCCGCGAATAATAGAGGACCGTGAAATAAAAATCTGAGAATTAGCAGGGCATACTGAACCATTAATATTTTATGTGGAAAACTGTAGTTCCCATAGAGCTAACAGTATCATACCTTAATTACATACAGATAATTATATGATAGGGTAATAAATACAAATTAGGTAAATATCACTGAAACACATGTCAGCTAAACAGTGCTTACACTGAATAAGTCACATGTCAGAACAAGCTGTACAATCAACACATCCCAATTCCAACCCTAATCCACTGAGCAATTACCTGGTTACAAACTGTGTGCAATTTATTTTTAAATATCTTTATATTTGAGAAGTTGTTTTGTTTTGTTATTACTGTACATATTTCATATGTATTATTCTATTGTATAAAATAATACTGCATGAATGTCATGATATTGTGGTTGACATGAGCTTGGAGTAATAGAGTATAAGCTGTGCAATTGCAGTACTATTTTCTACACATAAATAGTAATTTTAGTTTATCCGCCTAATGTGGCAGTAAATATGGTTGAAACTATACAGGAAATATGAGAGTCTGTCCATAGAATACAAGTTGAAAATGCTGGACAGGTTTGACAACAGGCTTTTTGTAGTGTCCAATTTACCCTCTGTTAATTAACTACAGGTACTGAAAAATTCCTATTACAGTACGTATTTCAACAAACTGTCGAATTTGTCAGGGACTTTGCATAAATAAGACCCTTTGGGTATTTAGACAAGGGTAGAGTCCAAGAGTTGTTGAATTGGATGGGTGCAAGTGTATACTGCACACAGTTGACTAATATTTAGCAGCAAGATGTTTTTCTGCAAGCCTTTCACTGTTTATATTTGGTCTATAAATTCCTTATTACCTCCAAATCCTCCCACCCATCCTACACTCTGTTGTTAATGCCATACAATGTACAGGTGTAAACAGTAAAAAGACTCCCCTATAATCTTGCAGTCTTCCTTTGTGTCTACTCCTTAAGCCTATATCTAGTCTCACTGCCTTCCACTTATGTACAAACAACAAACTTGGTAAATTCTAGAAAAATAATTTTTTTTTATTAATCCCTTCGCTACAGGGATGCCGCCTTAATATTTTATTTGGCTAACACTAGATGATTTTATTCAGCTTAGAGGCAACCCCATACACAAGGGGTTAGAACATTATCTCCACTAAACCTCTTCATTACGTGGACACCAATCTTAATATTTTATTTGCCAAACGCCAGATTTTATTCAGCTCAGAGGCGACCTCGTACACAAGGGGTTAAGGAGAAGTTTATGAAAAAGAAACAATAGTGCTATACAGGTATTTACTCTTGCATTTGGAAAACACTTTGCTAAGTATAATGTTAAAAGATAATTCAATTTTTTTTTAGATAACTAACCTGATAATTCATGCTCAAGATAGAATTGTCAGGCTGCCCTGCATCCATCATTTGCCACTGTCCCACAGGCGATATCACAGCTAGACATGATGACAAACCAGGTAGGAACTTCAACAAGAAAGGAGGAACCAGAGCTCGCAAGGGCAGAGACAGCTTCATCATACGCAGGTCAAATACCATAACAAACTGATCTCCGAGCAACTGACCCATTCTGGAAAGTGCAAAAAAGTTAGCTTTTCAGTATACAGTATTGTACTGTACAATATTACTATAAAAAAAGGAACTATTCATCATCTTACAGGAATTTTAAATCTTACAGCCATTCATCAAAAGAAATACCCACCTCTTTTATTGCCATAAGAGTACTTGGGTATTTTTTACAGTAATAAGAACTGTATTGTACTTATAAAAATAAGGGCAAACCAGCCACATCCACATCCTATCTACCCACTCATTTTGCTTCTGATCCAGTCACCCATGTTTTTACTTACCTAAACACTCCATCCTTAAGAGCTGAACAGCCATGGGTACATCACACTTACCTACAACTCCTGCTTTCATCTCAAAGGTCTCACTAAATCTTCCATTAACTCTCACACACGTTTTCCTATATCATATAATGACTCCACTGCATCAAGTAGCATTCCTTCTTTTTCACAAATCTTCATTCCCGCCTACAATGACTCCTGATTCTCTATGACCCTACATCTTCTTTAGATACATAAATAGAGCATAGAAGTTGCCTGCTTTAGTCAGTACAACTCTTACCTCCTCTAATCCTCCCAGTTTCTCACCTATACTGTACCACACTGCTATTTTCCACAACCTTTCAGTTACAACACAACCAATTATTTGTCAAGGTATACTCAGTGGACTGATTCCTATATATTTTTTACACTCTTCCTTACTGCCGTTCCCCAAATACAGTACAAGCAGATGATTGTAGACTTCAACCATTCATTTGGCACTTCCCTTATCTTCTATGCCATTGGACCGATACTGTAATAGTCTTGTAGATTTAAAATTGTTGGTATATTACATCTTTACTGTTTACACAAGTTCAAGAAAATGGTGGGATTTATGACTTCTATGGATACCTACAGCCTCCTTTTACAATATGTTAGCCTTAGATATAATTCTCAGCCATTACTCGAAGCCACAGTGAGTATCAAGGCGCCTAGGGGGACGAGCTTGCGTTCTGTCTCCTGTGAATATCACTCAGATTTAGCTGAAGCGGAGTTTTAATACTGTATCTTATTTGTTTCTAATTATTGTTTTTATTTACTGTATAAGGTCAGAATTCTTCCCTTCTTAAATAATTTCTAAATTTACCATCCTTGATGAGATTGGAATGCTTGAAACTTGTGCATTACTCAGCTTTTGCATGAAGTAGATTCAAAGAGCTGAATTTTATTTATTTCTAATTATTTCTATTATCATAGGTTTCTTTGTTTTATATAAACACAAAATATGATATACAATACTACATACACAAAAACACAGACATAATCAGAACATACCTATTTGAGAACCCACATGTAGCGATGTAATTACCAAAAACATCAAAATCCGAAAGGCTACCAGTGTGAGCTTGAAAAGAGTGTTCCTGACGTATTGTACGTGGATCATGAAGGACTATTCTTCCTGTCAGATCACCGTGACAAACAAATCTAGGATGATCACGAAGAATAACACAACCTTGCTCTCCAACTTGGTGCTGTTGAAAAAATGAAAAATTAATATAAAATATAAAATAAGTGGATTGTTAGCAATACAACCAGAACATCTACAGTACTTTAGGAGAACTGAACAGAGAATGATTCAATAGTGTGTCTGCCTCTAATTTACACCATTTTTATTATCACACAGCTTCATAATACTCCAAGGCATATCCACGATGCACACACCACTCTAAAGGCATGATTTGGATTGTACCTAGATGCAGGTTGAGGAAGAATGTGTTATATCTCATCTAACATGGTAACAGCTATATACATATTAGCACAGTACTTCATACATCTGCATATGGCATTGATTAAGATATGCAGTAGTCCAGTGGTTCTCAACCTTGTTTGCCCCATGCACCCCTTTCACCATATGTCAGAATGTCATTCCCCCCTCATTTCCAAGATTGTCTGCCTCAAAAAGTGCATTCCAAATAATATGAATATAATACTGAAAATCCTATATTTTTTCCATATTAGTATCAGTTTTCCCCTTCCCTGAAAACCTGAGGGGGGAAATTCCCCCCTGGTTGAGAACCCCTGCAGTAGTCCCTTGCCAATTGTGGAGGTTCGGTTCCTGAAAAACCCTGTGGTTGGCAAGACTAAAGGCCTATGGGAAATAAGGTGTTAGGTTCCATGGCTGTGGATAACACTCATCAAAGCCTAACTAACTTGCCTGTTCCTTCACTAAACAATACCTGTATTGTACATATAATTAAATTTGAGTCAAATACATATACTATAATAGCTTAATATAAATTAAATAGTAATATAAATTTTACTACAATACAAAGTCGAGGCTTGAAGATGGTAGTTATGCAGATTCTTACCAGGACAAGGTAAAGGTGTTAAACAAGTTCTTTTCCCCAGTGTTCACAAGAGAGGATGCGAATAATTTTCCTGCGCTGAGGAGAGATGGTTTGACACAGTGATGGCCCACATTGTGTTCTCAGAAGAGGGTATAAGAAATAAATTGTTAAAGCTAAAGGTTCAAAGAGTCCCAGCCCTGACATGGAGCATTCCAGAGTGTTAAGAGAGTTGTGCAACGAGCTTGCTGAGCCCCTGAAGATCCTGTTCTGTAAATGCCTGGATGAGCAAAAGGTCCCCAGTGATTGGAAAATGGCTTAAACAAGTCCTATATTTAAGAAGGAAGATCGTCACTCCACAAATAATATTATAGACCAGTGAGCCTGACCAGTATAGTATGTAAAGTACTAGAGAGCATTATAAAAGATGCCATGATGGAGCATCTACTACGAAACAACCTTGTAAAGGACTGCCAACACGATTTTCTGCCGGGACGCTCCTGCTTAACACAATTACTCGAGGTACTGGATGTTTGGACCCAAATTCTGGAACAGGGCAGCAATACCAACACTATATAAATAAGTAAACCCTTGTGATTCGTGGGGGTTAGGTTCTAAAGAATAGCGCAAATGAGCAAAACCGCGAATAGCAGCTAAACTACCTTAGTGCACTACTGTATATCTATACCAAACAACCGACCAACAGCGGCAACACTCATTCCCTCTTTTAACTTATCTAATTATTCAATGTTCTTTGTCAGGGTCATCACTGACTTCTGCCTTTTACATTTTACTCCACTAGCATTGACACTAGGCAGTCTTTTAGGGGCCATTTCACACTGATACACTAAAGTTTTGAGAGTACAACACAGGATGCTGTGTGGGGTGACTCATTGTGCTGAGGGAAAAGGCTCGCAAGCTAGCCACCATCTGCTTACTGCGAATCGTCAAAATCGCGAATCATAAACCCAAGAATGGCAGGGGCTTTCAACAGTGTATCCTATGAAAGGCTGAGAATTAAACTGGAAGGGTATGGGTTTCGGGGAGGTGTCCTAACGTGGATCGGAGACTTTCCGCACGATAACAAGCAGTGTGTGGTGATTAATGGTACAAAATTGTCATGTGTACCCGTGACAAGCGTGGTACCATAGGGCAGTGCATCAGGCCCGTTGTTGTTTGTTTGTTTCATAAACGACATGCTGAAAGTTATACACTCCTCTGTACAAATATTTGTTGATGATGCCAAGTTATTCAGGGAAATTAAGAGCCAAACAGACTGTGAAAAGCTGCAGAAATATCTCGTTGAACTTCAAGAGTGGTCAAAGAAATGGCTGCTAAAATTCAATGTAATGAAGTGTAATGGGATGCTCCTGGGTCATACCAATCGTAAGAAGGCATATCACATGTCCCAACGGGATGAAAAACTGCATTGATAAAGACCGAATGCGAAAAGGACCTGGGTGTGTATGTTGACAATGGACTGAAGTTTTCACGCCATTGTGAGAAGAAGGTGAATCAAGTAACTAAACTCGCAGATATCTAGATGGTCCGTCCCTCGTAACTCTCTTCAAAAGTGAGGTGCTTCCCTACTTGGAGTACTATCACCCCGTCTGGTCCCCGAGATATGCTAAGGACTGTAAGTTGATTGAAGCTTTCCAAAGACCAGACTTGACCAGCACTAGAGCAGGTTCAGATACATTCAGGAGCCATTGCATGCTCAGTACTTGTCAACAGTGCGTAACAGAGATGAGTCCGGCCGCCCAAGTGGCTAAATAGCCAATCAGTGGCAAAGAAGATAAAAGCAAAAGCAAAAGTTATTGTTATTTTTCAACTTGTATTTTTGGGTAGATACACATATTTATTTTTTACTGTTACATGCACACACAATCATTAATACAGATTGTGTAAAAAAAATAAAAGAAATGATTATCAAAAGATCAAAAACATAGAGAATAAATGTTTCTTATGTCCACAGGAGTTTGTATCGGATCATGGGAGTGGGAGGTGGGTGTGGTGTTGGGGATCTCAGTCTCTCCCTTCCAGGTCGAGCTGTGAGGTGCATAATTGTTCTTTTTCAACTCATCGTTTTGGGTAGATATACGATGTAATTTTTTTTTTTATTTATTTATTATTTTTTTTATCGTTACATGCACACACAATTGTCCATACAGAATGTGCAAAAAAAAAAGTAAAAGAAATGATTATCATAAGGTCAAAAACAAACAGAATAAAGAATTCTTATGTCTGCAGGAGTTAGCCCACGATCGTGGGAAGAGGAAGTGGGAGCATGCTCCTGTCCCCCATTTTCTTTCGAAACGATGGCCAGATGGCAATGCAGTATTTTGTCTTTCATTTATTAGTATTATTCATATTCATTCCTCACATTTACAGAGGAATATATTACACCGGGAAGAGATAAAGACACTACACTAATCTGCAGATACTCTAAATTCAATGCCGTGGTTGGTGAAATGGTTTAGAGTAAAAACCGAGGATACCCGGAATCCTCAGATGGGAAATCCACAGTTGGTGAGGGTCTACTGTACAATAATAAATAAGATGGGAATGACAAGTCTATGGGAAATGAAAGGATCCTTGCTGACCCTTCCCCTGCAATAAATTTGGTACTACATCAAAAACTCCTTGAACCTTCTAACTGGTATTATTAAGTCATGCTACATATCTATTGAACATTTCTTGAGTTTTCTGCAGGTCTCCAACAGGTTTGAAGATGACTGAACAGCAGGTTTTAAATTAAAGAAACGTAAGACACAAACACCCCGTAAGGAAGTTTTTTTATCAATTCAAGTTTACTCACACATCTGATCTGTTCCTGACGTGCGAGATCATACTCCACCATGGAGCTCTGGTGTCCTCCTAATAGCAGGCGATTAGAGAAGTTACCTCCCAACTGAACCATACACTGCATGTTCTCTAACTGGGGCGACCTGTTCAGGGAAACATGCTTCAATATTAGTTTAACCTGTAATACTACATTCTTGAACATAGAATAATTTGCCATATGTAAGTGTAAGTGTAAAATCTTTATCTCATATTATTTTACTTTATTCATGTTCTCCATGGATGTAAAGCCTGTTTGTTACTCAATCATTTACCTGAACCTATTCATCCATTCACACTACTGTATACAATAAAGTACAGTAAATTGTATATAAACCTTCAGATAACTTTAGTGTCCTTTCTACACAGTACCCTGAACCTTCTACTCATTAAAAGTGCAAAACATTGAAGCTATTACAGTATCAAAAGAATTTTAACTGATATTTCATGTCCAACATCCTCTACTTACTAACAAGATATCACTTTGATTAACAACTATTCTTACATTAATATCTGAAAATTCTTTCTTTTATATCCATCACCTTTCAAACATCTCTGACTAACCCAAATAAACTTTTCACCCCATTTTAAATGCCTATAAAAAATTCCTGAAAAGTTCTTATTATCTAACCCAGGTTACTCACTTTTATTTGGATAATGTTTTGTTGTTATAGATCTTACCATTCCTCTAATGACACAGATACTTTTTTCTCACAGATTCGTTCAACCAAACAACTTCCTTTAATTTGTCGAATAATTCAAATTTTTCTTGCCAGGGTCATCACTGACTTTTGCCTTTTATGTTTCACTCCACTATCATCACTAGCACTGACACTAGGCAGTCTTTTCGTGGCCATTTTTACAAAGAAGCACAAAATTTTGAGAGTACATCTGTATAACACAGGATGCTAGATCACGGGTACTGGGTGAGGGCAAACAGAGCGAGACAAGACGTCGTGGGCTCGTGGGGTGACTCGTTGTGCTGCGGGAGAAGGCTTGCATGTTAGCCACCCAAGCCACCAGTTGATTACCACAAATCGTAAACCCGCGAATAGGAAGGGTCTACTGTACAATACTGTACATATATACAGTACAATCAGAAAGAAATGTATTAAAAATGTTGAGTCTACACACACACACACACACATACATATATACAATACAGGTATAAGAAATAACTGTCCTAAGGGCAAACACATAAAGAGAATATACATTTCTTTGTACACAAGTAAAAATGTACCCCCCACCCCCCACGGTAAGCATATGTTATTCACGAATTTGGCGATTCATGGCCATTTTGAGAACCTAACCCCGGCGAATTTGAAGGGCATGCTGTATTAACACTCAAAGGGCAGTGATGTTCATATATGATATGAAAACACAGTTTATAACAAAAGACAATATTCATCATGTAATTTCATATACAGTACAGCTACTCCTCGACTTACGACATACTCGACCTACGACCTGCCTCAATCGGTACGACCACCCGCAGTTGGTACCAAAATTTTTTCAAATGACGCGAGTATTTTCTAGACCAAAATGTTTCCGTCCCGTACGAGAGCGACGTGTGGGCTGGGTCGCGTCGCCTCGTGGCTACAGCACCCATGACGTAGAGAGCATAGTTGGTGTTTGGCTGTCGTTGTTGTCGATAGTGATCGCGCTGTGTACTGACAATAATTTCGTTTCTAATTCAGTTTAGAATGACTGGCAAGCGTAGAAGTGAGAGTGCTAGTGGTGCTCAGAAGAAAAGGAGACAGTCAATTACTTTTGAGATGAAAATGAAGATAATAATGCAGCACCTATAAAGGGAACAATAATAACGAAAAAAAGACAAGGTCCTATTCATAAGATGAAAAAATTACTTGTGATATGGATCAGATACAAAAGAGTGTACCCTTAAGCCTTCTAACCCTACAGGCTCAGGCAAGAAGCCTTTTCGAAAGACTGAAGGAGTAGGCAGGAGATGAGTGTGACCAAACCTTCACAGCAAGTCATGGGTGGTTCCAAAGGTTTAAGAACCGCTACAGTTTGCAGAGTGTAAAGGTGAGTGGAGAGGCAGCAAGTGCTGATGTGGGTGCTGTTGAAGCTTTTAAGGAGGAGCTAGATCGTGTCATCATGGAGGGAAATTATTTGCCTGAGCAAATATTTAATGTGGATGAAACTGGCTTATTATGGAAGCACATGCCAGAACGACGTACATCCACAAAGAGGCAAAAACCATGCCGGGATTCAAGGCATTCAAGGTCCAAATCACACTTCTGTTGGGGGGGGGATGTAGCTGGTTTCAAGATAAAACCCTTCATGATATATCATTCAGAGAACCCAAGGGCTTTTAAACATGTCAGCAAGCACACACTGCCAGTGTTTTATCGCAGTAACAAGAAAGCATGGATGACCCTAGTACTGTTTGAGGATTGGTTCCTGATTTGTTTCATTCCACGAGCCAAGGAGTATTGTCTGCAACAAGGGATTGCATTCAAGATTTTGTTAATTTTGGATAATGCTCTGGGACACCCCCCACAACTGCACCCTGATGTTAAGGTAGTCTACATTCCACCTAACACTACCTCTATCATCCAACCCATGGATCAAGGTGCTATTGCTGCTTTTAAAGCGAATTATTTACGTACGACCTTCGCTCAGGCTGTTGCTGCTACAGAAAGTGAGAAAACGCTCAGAGAGTTTTGGAAGGACTACAACATTTTGAAATGTATAAAGAACATAGCTGCAGCATGGGATGGGGTTACAGGTCAGTACATGAATGGAATATGGAAGAAAGTCCTGAAAAGATATGTGAACAGTTTCAGAGGATTTAATGAAGATGAAGTAATTTCTGCAATTAGTAACAAGATAGTGGAGTTGGGTAAACAGCTGGAGTTAGAAATTGATAATGAAGATGCTGAGCAGTTGGTTGAAAGTGTAGCAGAAAAGCTAAGTAACGAGGATCTTATTGAACTGGAAGCACAGAAAATTGCAGAGGATGAAGCGAGTCAAAATGTAGAAGAACCTGCACCCCCCAAAAAATTTTCAGTGAAACAAATGTCAGAGGCATTTGCTACAATTAATAAGGGGATGCAAATGTTTGATGGAATGGATCAAAATGTTGAGCATTTGCAAAAGTTGACAGAATGATCCAAGATGCACTTGCTTGCTACAGGGAGATTTACAATGAAAAGAAAAATCAAACTGTGCAGTCTAAATTGGACATACATTTTAAGAAGACCCCAGTGCTGTCTCCTCACGCCCCACCAGTGTTGCCTCTTCACTTCCTAAAGATGATCCAATACCTTCAACAAGCAAGTTTCCCCTGTATGTTAACCTGTCTGAAGAAAGTAACATTGATGACCCACCCAGCCCTGTGACCTCCTCTGCTTCATCCAGTTAATGTAGTCTCCATGTATAATTAAAAAATTATGGGGGCCCCGTGTGCATTCAGCGGACTCCATTAAAGGTAAGTGCACAGTAACACTGTATTCATTCCTCATTATTGATTACTTTTACTGTACTGTACTGTACTGTATTTCATTTTAGATTTTCTAAGAATTATTTTTTGCATTTTCGACTTACAGCCAATTCGACTTACGACCTGGATTTGGGTCCCTAACCCCGTCGTAAGTCGGGGAGCAGCTGTACTGTACTATACCAGTCTTTCTCTAAGAAAAATAAACTAGCTGTCTAAATATTACTCCTCCTCCTCTAACATATTTAATAAATGCAACTCACTGGTGTGTGAAGGTAGGCATTCCTTGTCTGGTGCGGAGATTTAAGGAAGTTGGAGTTAGTGCCAGGATTCCAGGGTCAATAGATCGTAGATCACGAATTTCCTCAGTAGCGTGAACTTGGAAAGATGTGTACTTCATGAGTTCGGTACTTAGGTATGATGTCACATGTCCCTGTTAGGAGGAAAACAGTTTTAAAGGGCCATTGTCTTTAACTGAAATATAAACACAGCTACGGGCCAAAAATATTAAATAATCTTACAAAAGCTTCAGCATTTCAAATGGCAATCTACAGTTCTATTCACTAGTGATCCTATTAAAATTTGGTTTTGGAAAAAGAATGATTAAGCAAAATTGTTACCTCATGAACTTTAAAAAGAAAACAAGCTGGTGGTAATATGGTAGTGAAGGAAACCCGACTAAGAGATGGAATTTTATTCCTGTTGTTTCTTCACAAGACTTTTTCAAAGGAATGAACACACAATTTGTAGTATTGTGCTGAACTGTTATTTATAAAAAAGTCGAGTCCACAGTAGTGGGAGGAGCTATGTCGTGTCCCTCCATTGGTTAGTTGGTGTTGCTGCTGTTTCTTTTCTCCGCCAATCGTGTGCTGCCATCTGGGCCATGGTGTGCGACCAGGTCACCCAGCCTGCTTTGGTGTTAATTTTGGTTGTAGCTTAATGTATGCTGCTTCCAAGGATTTCCTGGTCTTTTTGTTTATGCCCTTGTGTAAAACCTGGGTACCTTCACATCTGGGCAAATGTCCCAGTGTCTATATGATTGATGAAGGCATTGGTTGTCCTGTGGGTTTCTAAAGTCCACTCGGTGCTCTCGCAGTCTCATCTGTAAGCCTCTGCCTGTCTCTCCATATTTTGATTCGCCAACCCACACACATGTCTACACTTAACGACCTCTAAACAGAAGGTCTTAAACAAAGGCGGCCTATAGGATGCCACATGTTCATGACAAGCCTCAGGCTCTCCCTATTGGTTAAGTTTAAGGCCCTCACACTGTCATTGGTCAGTTTGAGCGGGAACACTCAGACAGGCACTTGGTTTCTCAACTGAATTTTCATACCCATTTTCTCTAAAACAAGATGTAATTTACTCTTATAATCATGTTACAGGCATACCTGGTAACCAAAAAGACCAGGAAAGCCTTGTTAGCAGCATATTTCATGCTACAACCTAACATAAACATCAAAGCAGGCTGGTTGCATACGGTGGCCCAGATGGCAGCACATGATTGACAGAGAAAAGGGACAGCAGCGACACCAACCGAGTAATGGAAGGACGTGACATAGCCCCGTCCACTATCACAGACCCAACTTTTTGTATAAGCAGCAGTACAGTACAGAACAGTACAGTACTCCAAATTGTGTGTTCACTCCTTTGAAAAAGTCTTGTGGAGAAAAATGAGGAATACAGTAATATCTCTGTTCGCCAGAATCCCTCAAACCCGGAACTCTTCGATAGCCAGAATTGAAATTTTCTCAGAAAATTGTTCCCAAAGCCAGAGTTTTCTGGAAAATTCTGGCTTTCGGAATGAGTTACCGAGGCGCACATTTTATGGAAATTTCAAGAAATTTTCCTGGTACCCGGAAAATTCTCGGGATAGAGGATTTTTATTCCGGACTTGAGAGAAGAAAATTAGGGGCATTTTCCAGAAATTCCAAGAAAAATTTTCTGGTACCCTGTAATGTGCAATTTCTGGAATTTCTGAGAATATTTTTCTGCTCCCAGAAAATTCCAGGGATGAGGGATTTTTTCCGGCTTTGAAAGATGAAATAATTTTTCATTCTGGAACTTCCACGAACATTTCTCCATTACCCGGAAAATTCCGGAGATGAGGGAATTTTATCCGGCTTTGAGTCGTCTCATTATCTGGAAATTTCTCATTCCCAGAAGTGCTCTGCACCAATTGTTCTGGCTGATGGAGATATCACTAGTTTCATCTCTTAGCCGTGTATCCTTGACTACCATTTTACCATTTGTTCACAATGAACAATGTTCACTTTACATTTACTTGCACAAAGAGAAATTCACTTACCCCTGAATTCCCCATCCAAACTAATTCTTCTTTTCTGTCAGTGCTAACAGCTGAAACTCCAAAATGGTCACTTCCATCTACTAAAACTGTACGACTCTCCTGGTACTCTCCACTATTCCCAAAATCTGCTTGGTGAGTGTCATGAGGAAACTCTCCACCAGACTGGTATGCCTCTCCAGCATCACCAGGATACATCTCTGCATAGGCAGAATTGTCTTCTGGGAATGTGCTGTTCTCACTGTAAGGCCCTATTTGGGGAAAAATCACAAAACAAAGAAATATAAAAGAATACCTGTATGTTTATATGCTGTACAATATATATAGTTTTTCCATTATTATATAATTTATTGAAAAATATAAAATGTCAAAACTGACACAGTAATCGTAATCAACATATTTTAACCCATTCATTACGGCATGGAAAAATAATAATTACTCAAAACGGCGACTTTATGAATAATTTAAAGTGTTTTTATTAATTTTTTATTTATGGCCATTTTAAAGAAGACAACTTCCCAAGTCCTAAATCAGCTAAAATCATGGTAAAGAGGGACTAAATACACTTCCCACCTAACAACAAGTGCATAGTAATTGATGTCACGGCTGGCTGACATAGGATTGACTGAACACCACAAACACAGGAAATTATAAACGTTTCATTTGCTTTCTTGATAATTTTTCTCTTGACCTTTGAAAGAATTTGCTTCCCTGAACCCCATAAATATGTAAAACTGTTATCATAAGCTTTTATACTTTCACCTTTTGAAAATTCTGGAATTGGGTGGTGCCAGGAGGCAGTGCCTAGAGTCATAGATGCCAGATGCAACAAGTATCTCAACTCCCTTTCATACATTATAATCGAATTGTGTTCCTTTTATGATCATTCTTATTTATTTTACTAGAAAGATGAGGTTTCTCTGAACCAAAAAATATATACACATAGACTTGCTATTTGTTATACATATGCCTTCTTTCCTCTGCATGGCCAGCTCTAGTGGGTGGCCACTTGGCAATACGTTATAAAGTCTGTATTGTTGTGAATCATTGCTGCCAGATGTTTAGGTTGCTTCCCCAGCTCTCTGTCTTGCACAAACGTGCCGAGTCTCTTTATCTCATACACTTTAAAAAATACTGTATATATGAATACAGTACAGTACATACATACATATAAGTACATACTGTATAAGGAATATAAAACTCATGCTACAAATTTTTTTTGCTATGTGCAATTGTACATGGCACTGCTTTGAACATGAAATGAAAACAATTAATTATAAATTGGAAATTTCAGTGCTGTACAGTATTTTGAATATATGAAAATATTTTTTTATGAATTGGCAGTTTCAACTGCAAAAATTATAGTTTTTCAAGTTCATTTGAGCATTATCAACAAAATACGTACAGTAAAAGCAAAAACTGCAAAAACCTGTCTCGCCATCAATTTTTTAATGAATTTTGTCTCAAACACCTCATCAGATGTCCAATGATCTATTACTGTACAGTGAACCCTCACTTTACGCGGTTAATTCAACCCACGGCGGCCCGCGTAACGTGAGAAACGCGTAAAGTGAACAACATAACATATGGGATTAATTGAAATAGAGACCGGGCCGACCCCCAAACTCCACTTTTTCAGACACAATACCTACGTTGTAGTAAAAATAACTTCTTAATTTTATGATGGTGTGCACACACAATTAATAATTAAGAGAAATATCAATAATATTAGCTTTTTTAACACTTACATTAGTAGAAAAGATGGCTGGGCACACGGGGATGGGGGGTTGGTTCCGAGGCAGAGGGCAGATTATTGGCCTCACCTGTATCACTCAATGTATCACTATCCACCACAGAGGCTTGCAGGGCCTCTTTGTCAAACCCCTCAAAGTCCATATAAGTCCATATCCTCACTATAATTATCACTATCACTGACTTGGGCCGGCTGTGGTGGGTGGCGGGTGAAGAACTCGGTAATATTTTGATGACTGGGCGACCTTGTGCGCACCCTGCTCGCACCGCTTACACAACATTGCGGATGGCGGGAGAGGGCGGGAGAGATGGCGGGAGGTTTGGATCCAAAAATGGCGCGGCTCGCCAGCCACTCTCCGCGTAAAGGGGTAAACGCACCACGGAATGTGAGCATTCCGGTTTCAGCAGGGTACTGCGTAAACGTGGAAACGCGGAATGTGGGACCGCGTAAAGCGAGGGTTGACTGTATATGGTGTTTTCTGTTATGATATATTATTAGTATCATACACAGAAATCAAAATATTTTTTTCTCTTCCTATTTAAGTGTACAGTAGGGCCTCTCCTTGACATACGACATTTGCGACTTACGACAAAACGGGCTTACGACGGCCAGTCGTTTAAAAATTTCCACATTAATTTCGAGTATAGACGTTTAGTTGTAAAGTGATGCCGTACGACAACTTTGGCTGGCAAGCGCTGCTGCCACGTGGTGTACAGCATCCACGTCGTATCCCGCTCGGTTTGTGTTTGGCCGTCGTTGTTCTTATTGATCGCGTTGTGTACTTACAAAATTTTTGTTTGTAATTCCCTTTAAAATTGTTGGCAAGCGTAAAAGTGAGTGTGCGCGTGGTGCTGAGAAGAAAAAGAGACAGTCAATTACTTTTATGATGAAAATGAAAATAATAATGCAATATGAAAATGGAAAAATGGTATCAACAATTTCATGTGACCTTGGCTTCTCTGATTTGATGATATCAACAATTTTGAAGGACAAGGAACGAATTTGTGAGGCAGTGAAAGGATCAGCACCTATGAAGGGCACAATAATATAAAAAAAAAGACAAGGTCCTCTTCATGAGATGGAGAAATTTCTCATGACACGGATGGAAGATCAGCTACAAAAGCGTATACCGTTAAGCCTTCTAACCATACAGGCTAAGGCAAGAAGCCTCTTCGAAACCCTGAAAGAGCAGGAAGGAGAGGAGAGCACTCTAAACTTCACAGCAAGTCATGGGTGGTTCCAAAGGTTTAAAAAACTTTACAATTTGCACAGTGTAAAGGTGAGTGGAGAGACAGCAAGTGCTGATGTGGGTGCTGTTGAAGCTTTTAAGGAGGAGCTAGATCGTTTCATCGTGGGGGAAATTATTTGCCTGAGCAAATATTTAATATGGTTGAAACTAGTTTATTCTGGAAGCGCATGCTAGAATGGACATACATTCACAAAGAGGCAAAAACCATGCCGGGATTCAAGGCATTCAAGGACCAAATCACACTTCTGTTGGGGAGGAATGTTGCTGGTTTCAAGATAAAACCCTTCATGATATATCATTCCGAGAACCCAAGGGCTTTCAAAAATGTCAGCAAGCACACATTGCCAGTTTTATCACAGTAATAAGAAAGCATGGATGACCCTAGCAATGTTTGAGGATTGGTTCCCAAGTTGTTTCATTCCACGAGCCAAGGAGTATTGTCTGCAACAAGGGGTTGCCTTCAAAATTTTTAATTTTAGATAATGCTCCGGGACACCCACCACACCTGGATGACCTGCACCTTGATGTTAAGGTAATCTGCCTTCCACCTAACACTACCACTGTCATCCAACCCATGGATCAAAGTGCTATTGCTGCTTTTAAAGCATATTATTTACGTGCAACCTTCGCTCAGGCTATTGCTGCAACTGAACGTGAGAAAACTCTCAGAGAATTTTGGAAGGACTACAGCATTTTGCAACGTACAAAGAACATATTTGCAGCATGGGATGAGGGTAGAGGTCAGTGCATGAATGGAATATGAAAGAAGGTCCTGAAAAGATATGTGAACAGTTTCAAAGGATTTAATGAAGATGATGCAGTTTCTGAGATTAGTAACAAGATAGTGCAGATGGGTAAACAGCTGGAGTTAGAAATTAATAATGAAGACGTTGAGCAGTTGGTGGAAAGTGTAGCAGAAGAGCTAAGTAACGAAGATCTTATTGAACTGGAGACACAGAAATTGGCAGAAGAAGAACCTGAACCCCCCAAAAAGTTTTCAGTGAAACAAATGGCAGAGGCATTTGCTACTATTAATAAGGGGATGCAAATATTTGAAGAAATGAATCCTAATGTTGAGTGATTTGCAAAGTTGACGGACTAATCCAAGATGCACTTGCTTGCTACAGGGAGATTTATAGTGAAAAGAAAAGGCAAACTATGCAGTCTAAATTGGACATATTTTTTTAAGAAGTCCCCCACTGCTGTCTCCTCATGCCCCACTGCTGCCTCTTCACTCCCTGAAGATAATCCAATACCTTCAACAAGTAAGTCTGTTAGACTGTCTGAAGAAAGAGAAGTTGATGACCCACCCAGACCTGTCTCTTCTGCTTCATCCAATTAATGTAGTAGTCTCCATGCTTAATTAAAAATTATTGAGGCCGTGTGTGCATTCAGCTGACTACATTAAAGGTAAGTGCACAGTAACACTTTATTCATTTTTCATTATAGATTACTTTTACTGTACTGTATTACATTTTAGAATTTATACGTATTATTTTTATCAGCTTGACTTACGACCTGGTTGTCGGAACGTAACTCTGTCGTAAGTCAAGGAGAGACTGTACTGTATTCCTCAATTTTGACAACATTAATCATTGGTTAAAATTAATTTGTCACCAATAGATTGTTATCGAGAAACTCCAAAAGATAATCAAGTTCATCTGAATTTTTAATGGCAGACCAATCATTAGGTAATCCACAACTACCTGTACTTCCATCAAAGTCGAAAATTTCATGCTGGAAGTCACTGGCAATCAATCCCCAATGCTCTCCTTCACAGGGCCAAAATGTCACCTTCCCCTCCCACCGACAGTAGTTGGCCGAGTTTCGTCATTGTTCAGTTCATCTTCTCCAACAACATCATAGTCACTCCCCCCTATATCCGAGACAGAATTGTCATTTTCTATTGAATCAACAAATTCAAAGTAAAAGTCTGGGTTGGCAGTGGCATCTCTTTCTACTGCCCGCCGATCAAAACACAGTTATCATACACCAACTTTCCTCTTCGCAATTGTGATGGTAACCGAGTGTTTCTTCACGGCATAAATTATGGACTCAACTGATGGAAACACTAGATAAGTTGTAATACAGTAGAACACCGATATAACACGAGATAGGTCGCTTTAAACCGAATTCGCACTAAATCGAAGTGTTGTTTCAATGGAATAATTTAGTTTGGTACTTGAAACACCAAATACTAAAAAGACTGAGAGTCTACCCAGATGCAATCCAGCCCTTCTCCTAGAATAAACAAATATTGTTTTTTGTAGTATTATGTTAAAACAAACACTCATAAATCAACACAGCTAAAATTAAGGGATGCAAAATGGTCTGTTTACTGGCTGGGAAGATGGGGGAGGGGGGGGGGAAGGGAAGTGAGGTGATATGCTTGACAGTTGATGCCAAGGTCTAGTGCTTATTTATTTATCTGTCCTTAAGAGTGACTAAGTTTTCTCTTAGAAAATGTCACTGAACTGACATGGGAGACTATAATTAACATTGCTGGAATTCTTATAAGATAGTGATTAATTTGAATATAAACATGCTACAGCTCGCATTAGACATACAAATTTTAGTTCTGGAATTCTTATAAGATAGTGATTAATCTGAATATAAGCATGCTATAGTTTGCACAAGACAAAAATTTTAGTAATCATTTAGTACATTATTTTGAGTACATGTACAGTACAGTTTTGCCTTTACGACAGTGTAACATGCCCAGAGAAACATTAGGCACAAAATTTGAAATATGATGCGCCAGATTGACTCACGCAAAAGAGGAAAGATTCGCTTTAAATTAAAACATTGTCCTTAATGGTGGGTGTCGCTTTAAATCAATAATCTTAAATTGAATTGCTTTAAATTGACGTTCTACTGTACAGTACTTTCCAGCTAACATGTGCAACTTAAAAATGCTCTGGGACATAACCGTCTCAGCTGTAATGTACTGCAGAAAGCGTTTAGGGACACATGTCCCATCCGTAATGAAAGGGTTAAGGAATGAAACAGTAAATGAAACAATAACAAGAGCACCATATAGCTTTTTCAAAGCAATTTTGAATGGAGAAATAACTCCATGGGCCTTTAAACCTCACTGTTCTTTTACATAAAAAGTGGGATAAACTGACTAACACATATACTGTTCAGGTATCCCCCTCTATCCAAATGTTCAGCATCCAAAATTTTACTTATCCCAAATTTTTATTCTTACACCTCTTTTTCACTATGCGAAAGATGGTCAAATTGAAAATTCAAATAAATTCAAACTAGCCCATTCCTTGTGGTAAGCTCTGACAGCCCTCCAATTAGGTAACATACCAACTGGACAGTACAGTATATCTTTTTTTAGTTTAGCAATTACCACAACAGTAGTTAGGTACTAAATTACAGTAAAGTAGTTAGGTACTAAAATAGTGACTAGGTACTAAATTACAGTGGTTTGATACTAAATTACAATGGTTAGGTACTAAAATACAGTAGATACAGTACAGTACTAAATTACAGTACTTACTACTTAGGTACAGTACTAACTTAGTTACAGTAGTTACATAGATTTTAGTTGTTTGGGGTTTTCTTCTTGTTCGGGAACCAAACCCCTTTTTCCAATTTTTTCTGTTATTCGCCATCCAAGGAACCTAACCCATTCGGAAAATGAGGGGCACCTGTTTTGGAATATCACTCCTGTCAACAGCTGAGAAATGCCTAGTGGAAGATGATTGACTGCGGTAATTATATCCCTGGCAAGGTAAAAAACATAAGTACTGTAATAAATAACATACAACTTTTGTAAAAACCATTTAAATGTTAATAGATAAAACTCAAGGTTTGTGTAAATGGCCAGCTTCCCCACAAAAGAGAGGACATCCCCTCCCATGCTACCCCCCCCTCCCCCCCAGCACCAAAGAAAAACAGTAAGACAATGATCTTGAACAAAATCATTACCTTTACAGTACCACCACAGCCAATAGCATACTCTCTGAAAGCTAATGTGGCTTCAGGGCAGAACATAACACCACTGACACGATCTTTGCCTTCAGACAGATGCACAGGAAATATCTGGCATGAACATGTCGATTCTGAAAGGTGACCTGACCTTGGGAATGCCTATGAGTGGGTATCTCCTGAATACAGTATTCTCATAAACCTTAAGGCAATTCCATGGTGTTAAAACCAGTTTTATACGCACTTACACCAGAGTCTCAAACACCTTCCCCATTACATATGGAGTGATCAAGGGGGTGTCTTGGCTCCAGTACTGCTTAATTCTTCTGCAGTAACACGTATGAACAAGGAACCCCAGAGGGGAATTGTAATACAATTCCAAACAGACATTTTAACCCTTTAGCGGCAGGGGTCTCTCTCGGCTGAATAAAAATGTCTAGCATTAGACAGAATAGAATACTGTACCTAAGTGTGTAGCTGCCTTATAAAGAGTTAAAGCTAAAACAACACTCAATAATGCAGTCGTTGTGAACTTCAATATGCAGATGAATGCACTTTAATAGGACACAAGAAGGAATGCGGACAACTACTTACCAGCTCTCTCATAGAGTACTGTGGTCTTTGGCCTTGAGCAAACTTACCAAAAACTAAGGTGATATATCTGTCACCATGTGGACATCCTTACCTACATTAAACCAACAATACTATTCTATATTAATGACCACCAACTCAGACCACCTACCTTAGCAGTACTATTGCCAACAAAGACAAGCTAGATCAGGAAAATGGGGGAGACCCCAAATTCTCACAGATAGCTACATTGGAAGATGCTTGCAAATATCTGACATGCTTAGCAAGTTTGTCTCTGTCAAGTGAACCATGTGCATATTATACAGTCCACACATAAAAATAGGAACTACTGAAAATAAATAAAAAAGGAGAAATGTACAATGATTCAACCAAAAGCATGCTCTCTGGCAAACCATTAATGAAGAAATTGTCAACTTAAACCTCTGAAAGATTAGGCACCTTAAAAAATCTCTAAGAACTTATGAGGTAGAAAGCTGTTTTCCACTGAATTTCTTAGGCAAAACTAGAAAGGAGGGAGAGGAAGAAAATTCAGACAAATCATGTAGGAAAACCATCTAAGCCAAAGTGAATACCATAGGTCCAAAAGCCCATTGGGTTCTATGTCTCAGTAAGTGTGGGTATCACAGTACAGTATTATACTGTACAGTATACTTAAAATAGACATCTTAGTTTCAGTCCATTAAAAAGAATGGAAATGATAACATTAACACAAGAAAGTTCCAGAATACAAACCTAACAAATCATCATTATACTGAACATTTGTGAAATCCATCTTCAGTTATGATGCAAGGGAATCCTGGTGATTCTGAAAGAGAAATTGGATGTTAAAATTTTCATAAAGAGAAGAAAAGCCAGGAGGCATTTACTCACTAATGTCTTTTATCTTTTACAAAAACATGAAACTCATAAGCATTTATCATACCATTTCTCACTAACATATGTACATAACTGTGCTTAACAAAATCATACACTGTACTGTATTACCATTACAAATTCTTCCTTTCTTTGTTATGCTTAACTGTCTTAGTTTACTCTTCTGAATGGCAGATGTGGGGTAACCATGGTCTGTAAATGTAAACCTTTTTTCTGGTATTTATTATATTATTTTCACTATTATTATTATTATTATTAACCCGTCAATGGTCACTACATAATTATACAGTACAGGTAGTTCTGCTATAACGCGATAATTGTGTTCTTGTAAAATATTGTGTAATAGAAAATCGCGTAATAGAAATAACAGGGCTTATGGAGAAAATAGGGTTAGGTGCAGATTACTCGAAATCGAAAAAATTTAGTAGTTAGCCTAACACAAAGGATAGCACAGTCTAAATAAATGTTACATTCATATCTAATAATGAAATCATACAGTAAATTTAACACTTTACTTGATGGGGGAGAAGGGTGATTTTGAGGTTGATAAAATCGAGCTTCTCTTCAAGTGTTATATCCTTTCTTTTACGATCATCACCGGGAATTCTATCACCAGAACGCTTCTTGTTGATATTCTTCTTTACTATATTCACAGTTAATACAGTGGGGTATGCTATAACGAACGGACCCTACTACGAATATTCCTATAACGAACGGTTTTACCTATAAAATTGAGAATGCTATAATGAACGAAACTCCTACAACGAACATTATTTAATTTTTTTTTCTAATTTATTGTTTTTTTATTACAAATATTAATGATATTCATTATTTCAGGGGTTTAGATGCATATTTAAGCACTTTTTTACAATTTTTACGATTTTATATTATATTTTTCAGTGTTAAGTGGTTGTATTTGGGGGCCTGGAACGGATTAATCCTATAACGAACGAATGCTATAACGAACAAGGTTCTAGAACCAATTAGATTCGTTATAGCATACCCCACTTTACCACAAAATTGGAGAAATAGTAAGCAAAAATCGCGTTATAGCAAACAAGCATTCACGTTATACAAATATCGTTCCTAATTCATAAATCGCGTTAGAGCAAATTCGCTATATCAAAACACGCGTTATAGCAGAACTCACTGTACTGTATATACTGTACATACAGTATGTGATTTTGGCCTCAATGATTTCTGGTGAGCAATTATGCAATATTTAATTTTTAATTTTTTTATTTATGCTTCACAAGGGCTCTAAAATGCCCCAGAACAATATACAGTACATTAATTTGATGTATTAGAGTACAGTACACGGCATCTTGTCATACCGTATCTCCCTTTAATACTATGCAGCAACGACCTGACATGAAAAAAACTGTTCAAAAGAAATGTCACGTGTGCAGCAACACAACAGTGTGTCAGTAAAAATGCACCAACACTCGCTACCACTGTTGAAATGTGATGTTGTTCTTTGCCTCAAGCCTTACTTTGAGGAGTACAGTACCACACCCAGATACAGTATAGAGCAAACTTGTATATATGTACTATAGTACTGTACTGTATAGCTAGACGTAAACACGTAATGCCTATAAATAGAATACAGTATAGGGTAGTACCACTGTACAGTAGTTGCAAGGAACTAGATTTGGTATTCAGTATTTTCATTTCATATTGTTTTTGATTGTACAATATACTGTAGTGTATTTAGTTTAGATTAATGGTACAGGGTATGTTTTTCTTTGTTTTGTATTTCTTAGATTTTGAATTGTATTTCTTTCATATTAGGTTTTGTAATTTTGTTCATATTATTATTCAATACACTTTGTATTATGTTTTGATATACAGTATTTAGTATGTACCGGTAGTTTTTATACCTGTAACATTTATAAATTAAGTACAGTACAGTATTGTGAAGCTACTTCAGCATTTTTCTCAACGAACAAACACTGATAATAAAGATGCTACAGATAGCTGCATCATCCAGCCTAAATTCTCTCAATATTATTCAAAGAGGAAATGAACTTGATTATTTATGGTTTGCATATAGCAAAACACATTTACTGTTCTATATTTTCATTTAAAATATGAAAAAATAAATAAACAACCATTTGAACTTCTTAAAAAGTGCAGCATTGAAAAGGATAAGTAAAAAGTGTGAGAATGACGTGAAATACTGTAACGTGAAATGAAGTCATACCCATCTTTGCTATCTGTCAATTTTAGGCATGAGCGACATTGCCACATGTAATACTGTACATGTATACACAAATTATTGTGCGCATTGATATAAACGATTCAGTGTGATATATGTAATACTATATTGAATTGGTGTAAGTAATTTTTAGAAAAAAAAAAAAAAAAAAAAAAAAAAATTGAATAAAAGTATTTATAAGTGACATGCCTACGAGTGCACAGGGTATATCACCTCCATCATGTCTGCATGACCCCGGTGGAACCTTTAGATTGGGTATTTAAATGTTTTCACCATTTTTCCACAGATTCTGGGGGTCATTTGGGGGCGATAGAGATAAAATAAGAAAATTTGACGGGTTAATGTCTACGAAACATTTGGATAACACCTCTTGATGCTCACATAAACAGAGATGGTGGCCTGAAGCAGGCAGGTGGCTGCAATGGCACCTTTGTTTACAAGAAAACTTGGGATAAAACATGAATAAGAAAAGTGCCATTCTTCCACCCAATTTGCTTTATTCTTAAGATAAGAAATAAATTTTCATAAAGTCTAGATCAGTGGTCCCCAAACTTTTCAACTTCAAGGACCAGCAAAAGTGAAGAAAAAATTATGCCCATATACAATTGACACTCTGTATTTTGTGAGACTGGGACTGATACTGTCATTTCATGCAGTCTGCATATTATCCTATAAATTACAATACGGAAAAGGGAAGGGATATGGGACAGGATATTAAGAAGGTACACTCTACAATGTCTGTAAGACATTTATTTCATTAAACATTGGTAGCAGCTCTTCTTATGTAAGTGACCCTTGCTTACCCAAAAGATGGTCAAATTGCAAATTCAAATCAACCAACCCCTCCTCACCCTCTGTGGTGAGCCCTGACAGCCCTCCAATATGGTAATACACCACCTGTACAGCATAGTACTGTATATTTTATTTAGTTTACTAAATTACAAAACAGTACAATAGTTAGATACTAAATACTATAGTTGTTAGGTACTACTAAATTACAGTCATTAGGTACTAAATGACAGTACAGTAGTTATATACTAAATATAGCTGTTAGGTACTAAATTACAGTCGTTAAGTATTAAATTACAGTAGTTACGTACGTAGTTTTTTGTGGTTTGTGAATTTATTTCATTAGGGCTTTCTTGTTGATAGGAACCAAAACCT